AAAAGGCTTCCCTACATCCAACTGTTCATTTCCTATAATATGATCCTGGTTGAGGAACTCATGATTAAATGGATATACACCCCAGGAACGGGCACAGTTGGATGCAGGCATGAGGGACAGAGTGTGAACCCAAAGAGCAGTCACACTTTTATTTAAATAGAAAATTCCTCCAAATTGGGCCCAAACCTGCTCTAATAAGTGGAATTAAGTCAATGAAAAAGCTGTATTTTGGAATACAAAAGCTTGGAAGCATCAAGGTTTATCCTGCAGGATCCTCATGGATGCCAGTACGGGATATATCTGGGATTGCTGGGATTCAGCATTTGATGACATCACTGGGAGCTAATGAGTTGGACTCAGAAGCCTCCCTTTCAGGGAAAGACATTGGGAAACACGTCCCCTGGGTCAGATGTTCCACTTGTGCTCAACCAAACCTCCCTTTGATTCCGTGGAAGCGTTTTTGTTCCGTTAAGGATGTCTGAGGGATGAGAAGGAGACAGACCCAGCTCTGGTGGGGAGTCAGCAGCTTGAGAGCCATGGAAATCCTTGGCTTTCCAGCCCACTGGAGCAGGGAATGGCTGGATGAGCAGGGAAGATGCCTCAGCTCCCTGTGCCTGGGATTCCTGAGCACGGGAACAAACTCCTGGACGGGCCAACGTGCTGAACCCCTGTGGTGTCCTGGTCTCAGCTGCTCCTCCTGGCCCTTCCTCATGGAATGGTTTGGGTTGGGAAGACCAAAGCTTATCCAGTGCCACCCCCTGCCACGGGCAGGGACACCTTCCACTAGCCCAGGTTGCTCCAAGCCCCGTCCAACCTGGCCTTGGACACTTGCAGGGATGGGGCAGCCACAGCTTCTCTGGGCAACCTGTGCCAGGGCCTCCCCACCCTCCCAGGGAAGGATTCCATCCCAGTATCCAATTCAAACCTGCCCTCCTCCAGCTTAAGGCCATTCCCCCTTGTTCACCAGCACTCTGTGTGTGATGGACCATGATCTGGGCCATCTCCTGCACCAGGAGGTGACACCAAACCCCCCCCAGCCCCCTGTGCCACGGCCCTCGCTCCTTCCAGCCGGGAATAGCTGCACCACCTCCTGCTTAGGGAAAGCTGCGTGTAAACCACGGCAGATTAGAAGGTTTGTGCTTTGAGATCCTCACACCTGAAAGTGTGAAACGCTGCCTTCAGCTCTTTCTCAGCCGGGCACAGAAGGTGCCAGGTTTGCATTTGCTGGGGGGGATTTCCTGCAGCAGAGGACGGAGTGATTTGCTCATTGGACTTGGCTTGCAAGTCCCTCCCGTCTGAGGAGCAGTTTCAGTTTGGTGTCACTGGTGACACCCTGCTCGTGGTATGAGCGAGGAAGAGGAGGGTTCAGCTCTGAGAAGGTCAGAGTTGGACAGATGGTGGATATGAAATATAAGAGATAGAAACCAGGGGAGAAAAGGGGCTGATGGGGTTTGTGACAGTCTTTGGAGCCAGGACTGTGTCCAGAGAGAGATGGGGGGGCTGGAGCCTGTCCAGGGAAGGGGACGGAGCTGGGAAGGGGCTGGAGCAGCAGGAGAACTGAGGGAGCTGGGGGGGCTCAGCCTGGAGAAAAGGAGGCTCAGGGGGGACCTTCTGGCTCTGCAACCCCCTGACAGGAGGGGGGAGCCGGGGGGGGTCGGGCTCTGCTCCCAGGGAACGAGGGACAGGAGGAGAGGGAACGGCCTCCAACTGTGCCAGGGGAGGGTCAGGTTGGACACCAGGAGGAATTTCTCCATGGAAAGGGTGGTCAGGCCTTGGCAGGGGCTGCCCAGGGAGGTGGTGGAGTCCCCACCCCTGGAGGTGTCCAGGGAAGGACTGGACATGGCCCTCAGTGCTCTGGGCTGGGGGACAAGGTGGGGATTGGGCAGAGATTGGACTCAATCCTGGAGGTCTTTTCCTACCTCAGTGATTCCATGATGCAAAGTGACATGGATAAATGGGATTAGCCTCCATCCAAGCCCACGTGTGACACCAGCTGCCATCAGAATCAGACCCACATCTGTGTTGCCCTTTAAAAGCTCCAGCTCTTGGCAACTTTCCAATTTATCATCAATTTACCAAAAAAACAATGATCCCAGTTTTATGATTCAGCAGGAACAGCATCGCTGGGTCGAGCTCCTGGAAGTCTGGAGGCCAGCAGGTTTTTTAATTCTTACTCTGAAGGAATTTCCTTTTTTAATGTTGCTGTGCTCTTGCCCAAGCCCCAGGAAGTCGACTATCTATGGACAGCAGTGACCAAAATTTGGTTTTCCTGGAATTTTCCCTCCTTCCCTCCGCACACCCACACAATGGGCTTTTTAGGATGCCTGCAGTCTGTAATTTGCCTTTCCAGCCTGATAATGTGGCTTGCAGAGGCACCGCTTTTGCCAAGTCATCATCTGGAAGGAACAGTGGCTTGTGCAATGTTCCCTGTGCCCCCGGTGTCCGACGGCCCCGGCAGCCACCGAGCCCCGTTCCTGCCCCTCGGGCAGACTCTGGGAACAGGGGGGAGCCCAGGAAGTCTGGGAAAGGGCCCCAAACTTTCCATTTCAGAAGACGCAGCCCAGAAACCAGAAGGACCAAGAACCCAGTGCTGTGGTTTCCCTTTGCCTGACTAAAGAAAAGAGCTGCTATTTTTACTAAAAATGTGGGACGTGAGGCCCTTCCCTTCCCCTGCTCGAAGGGGGGACGCTGCTCACAAGGAGAGGGTGGGGGGGTCACCCCGGATTAAAACCAGCTGACTGATCCACACAACTCTCTCCCATAGATTCCTCAAATATTTCTTGCCCACACCATGGGAAGATTTATTTGTAAGGTGAGAGGAAGTTAGTTGGGAAAAGGGAATCTGATCTCACCTACAAAAATCCCCCTTTTTCATTTTAAGGCAGTGGGATTGATGTAATTCTCTGCCCCTTTCTCTTCTCTAGTCCTGCATCACCGTGGGCTTCTCGGGGCCTTCAGCAACACAAATCAATGCCACGACATCATTAAAAGTTTCCAGTGTATCACAGGAATGGCAGTAAATTAAAGCCACCTGCCCAGGGGAGGAATGGGATTCCAGCGTGTGATTCCAGGGTGTGTGACCTCTGTGTTCACTGTCATGAGGAGGATTCTGAACCTCTAAACCTCTGATCAAAAAGATGCTTTTCATTTTCAGCAACCAAAACAATCCTGAGCAGGGAGAACAAAGACTTGGGTCTTGTCTTACTTAGAGGCTTATTAACTTTGTGTGTTTGTTCATCATTAAAAGACTCTTCAGATGACAAGAGAATACTAAACTCATCAAAATGGCACATGTAGAAGTGACTTCAGGGGTGGGGGAGTAGCTGTTGTGGCACATCCCTCCTTTGGTTCTTTGTTCCTTTGCCTAAAAATGCATGTGAGTGTATTTACAGAGGAATATTCCAGCAGGGCCGGTCAGAGGTGTCCAGCTGAGTCCCCTTTGTGTGGCCCTGCATCCTTTTGGGATGCAGGATTTTGGATCAGGATTTTGGATACGACTTCCATTGCTCTGTTCCCTTCAGAACGGAGTTTTGTGTGGAGTGGGTCCTCCCCAGGAGTGCAGATGGGGGGTATTGCTGTGAGATGAATTTGGGTTTGTCTCCATCCACTCCCCTGTGTCCCGATGTCATCCTGCCAGTACTGCCCTGGGCAGGGATTCCAGGAGTGCAGGAGGCAGGCAGACTGGGCTGATTTCATCTACCAAGAGATGAGGGTGCTCTGGAAGGTATTTCCCACCTCTCCCATTTGTGATTAGAATCGTTTGGTCCCACCCGGTCACCCCTTGGGGCACAGGGGCCTCCAACTGGCCTTGGAAACTCAGTAGAAATGGACCTTCTGAGCCAATCCTCTCAACTCGGGGGGGACCTTTTAATGTGCAAGTTTGAAGGCAGTTCAACTTGCCAGTTAGACTGTTGTGCATTTTATACTGTTTTCTGGCACTTCTCGGTAGCCAAGTCAAGACATTGCAGCTCCTGTAGCCAGAGACAAACATCAGAGAGCAATGGGGCCAGTTACAGCTTTCCAGACCAGTCTGCAGCTTCCCAGACCAGTAAGCAATTCCAGTGGATCAAGGAGAAGCAGCCTCAGGTATCAGAGGCTGGGGAAGTCACCGTGCAAAATTAACCGAAAGACTTTGAAATTCCTTTGAAATTCCTACAGTAAGCAGCCAGACAGTGAACTTCTGAAAGGTGTTCCCAAACAATTGCTAATTATTCGGAAGAACCAGCCAGGGCTGACAAAGCCTTATCTCTGCAGCCCCCGCGGTTGTTATCTCCCATGGAGCCGCACCAGGGGAAATTATGGAAAGCGGCAGGCTCCAAGCCTGCGCACAGCTGATTATTTCCACAGCCTTGAAAAACTTCGCTGAGACACTAAAAAAAAAAAAAAAAAAAAAAAAAAAAGAAAAAGTTATAGGACTTAAACGCTGAAAAAAACACACTCTTGGAAACGCGTCGCGGGGTTGACAGCGGGCTGGCCGGAAGCAGAGGGGTGCGGGGGGAATGTGTGGTGGCTGGGGGAGCCCCGGGCTGGGGGGTCCCGTGTCCCCCCATATCCCCCCCCAACATGGCAGCGCCGCCCGCGCCCCCATGTGCTCCGGTCCCGCCGGCCCGCTCCGGGCCCCGCCCCCGGGGGCGTGGCCACCGCTTGCATTCGGTGCGGATTGGCTGGGCCTTGAGCTGGCCCCGCCCCTCAGCTCTCGGGGCTCGGCCGTCCCGGCCGCGGATTGGCCGAGGCGGGCGCTGGCCCCGCCCCCCGGCGCGCGGCGGAGCCCCGAGCTCGGCGGGGCCGCCCGGGGAGCGCGGCCAGTCCGGGAAGAGCGGCCGCGGCCGCTCCGTCCGCCTGTCCCTCCGTCCCTCCGTCCGTCCGGCTGTCCCGCACCGCCAGCCCCCGGCCCTCCCGTCCCTGCCCCTTCAGCCCCCCGTGTCCGTCCCTCCGTTCCCCTGCCTGTCCCTCCAGCCCCCTGTCCGTCCGTCCGTCCGTCCGTCCGTCTGTCTGTCCTTCCTTCCCCCCGCCTGCCCCTTGTCCGTCCTTCTTCCTGCCCCTCCGGTCCCCGTGTCCGTCCGCCCCTGCCGCCTCCATCCCGGCCTCCCCGCCGCCCATGGAGCTGCTGTGCGTGGAGTCCGCGTCCCGCGTGCCCCGCGCGGGGCGCGACCCGCAGCTCCTGGAGGACCGGCGGGTGCTGCAGAACCTGCTGAGCCTGGAGGAGCGGTACAGCCCCCGCGTGTCCTACTTCCAGTGCGTGCAGCGGGACATCCAGCCCTACATGCGGAGGATGTTGGCCGTCTGGATGCTGGAGGTACGGGACGCGCCGCCGCCCCGCTCCCCCTGCGCCGACACCGGCGCTGCTCCTGCCCCGGCGGGGGGAGCGCAGGGCAGGACCCCCGGCCCGCGTGTGCTGGGGGGGTCAGGGGTGCCGGGGACAAGCCAGGGGACACGCCAGCCCGGAGGTCTGTGCTCAGGGCAGGGGGTGATGCCGGTGGGCAGCGCGGGGGCTGCGCGCGTCGCTCCTTTGCAGGCGCTTTGCTCCGTGAGCGCCGGCTGGGCTAAAACACGTGTTCGCCCCGTGCAGGAGGAGCAGGACCCCTCTCCCCCCCAAGAACCCACAGCTCACCCCACCCCTGTGCTGAGAGACCCCCAAAAGCTCCGGGCAGAGCTGGGCTGTCAGAGCCTCGGGCTCGGGGCTGCAAGTGCCTGGTTAGAGGGGGAAATAATAACGCTACTATTTACTTCCCCAAATTAAAAATGAGTGTGGCTCGCTGCAGGATGGAGTTCGGGGCGGGGGAATCTCAGGGGGCTCTGCATGAGGTGGTCGCAGTGAAGAGTCTCGATAAAGAACGATTTGCAGAGGAGCGGTGAGGTCGGGATGGAGCTTCCCCGTCCTCCAGCCCGGCGGCTGCTGCAGGGAAGCTCCGTCAAAAGAAATAACGAACGTTTGCTTTTTAAAGGGCTTTTTCCCCCCCCCTCTCCTGTTATTTTGTTTCTGCCGTTCCCTTTACGAGAAGGGTGTTAAATAAATGCTGCTTTGGGACCTGTCCCTGTGAAGCGCTGAAGGGGTGACAAGCGGGTGACAAGTGGCAGTTGTCACACCCGCGTCGGTGTCGCCGGCGCTGGGGCAGCCGGGGCTGGGAGGAGGATGGTGTTTGCTGCAGAATGGGGAGAAACCGCAATGTTTTTATGGTCGTGTTGAAAGAAGGAAGTTAAATATGACAAGTGTTTTGATACTGTTGGGAGATAAGGGCAGAGGGCTGAAATTTGGAGCTGCTGGATTCTGTGGCTGAGGGAGGAGGACTTTTGGACCCAGCATTGATTTGGGTTCTGCCACTGACTCTTCTTGTGTCTCTGGAGCACTCGAGGTGGAGTTGCCAGCAGGGGATCCTGCTCTGTTAAGTCTCCAGCTGGGGATATGCTGGAACTGCTCACTTTCTCCAGAGATCCCCCGTCCCCACAGGGCAGGAGGTGGCAGCTTTGCTGTCCAGCTGGCTGGAGACATCTCCAGCAGGGCAGATCAGAAACGGGGCCAAATCAGGCCGGTTTGGTCTCATTTGTGCACTCTTTCTAGCTGCACCTGAGTTCTGCTGCTTTCCCCAGGAAGCTGAAGTCTTGAGGCCTTGGGGAAGCTCCTTGCTGGTGTAAGCCCAGGGATGTCACCAGAGTTAACACCTGGAGCTCATTCACCCCAGGCCTCCAGAGCCCTGGCAGGTGTGAAACACCAGAGGCTTTGGAGCTGCGGTGCAGGCAGGGGCTGGGGAGCCCTGCCTTTACTTTGTGTCTCTGCCACTGGGTTTTGCCAGGTGTGTGAGGAGCAGAAGTGTGAGGAAGAGGTTTTCCCCCTGGCCATGAATTACCTGGATCGGTTCCTGTCGTCGGTGCCCGTGCAGAAGAATCGCCTGCAGCTTCTGGGGGCTGTGTGCATGCTGCTGGCCTCCAAACTGAGAGAAACCATGCCCCTGACCGTGGAGAAACTCTGCATTTACACAGACAACTCCATCACACCTCAGCAGCTCCTGGTAACCACCCTCTACCTCCTCCCCAGCTCTTCTGCATCCTGCTGCCTGCCATCCCACCTGCCTCCCTGTCCCTGCTCTTCCTCCCATTCCCTCACCTCCCCCTGCATTCCAGCCTTCTCTCCTCCCTGTCCCTGCTCTTCCTCCCATTCCCTCACCTCCCCCTGCATTCCAACCTTCTCTCCTCCCTGTCCTGCAGGGTGTGGTGCCTGTTGGTGGAGACCTTTCCACCTTCCCTGTTGTGGGGAGCAGAATTGTCCCCTCCAGGTCGTAGAGGAAGTTCCTTGTGCCTGCAGTGCTCGTTCCCAGCCCTGGGCTGTCACCCTGGGCTGTCACCCTGGGCTGTCACCCTGGGCTGTCACCCTGCACGCTCAGGCAGAAGTTCAGTTCTGAGGCTTTGAAAGGCAAAGTGTTTTCGTGTCTGTTCAGAGATCCAACTCCCTTGATTTCCACTCCCCCAGTGCAGGAGGAAACTGGAGAGCCCCTTTTCTTGGGGCCTTCCATGCTGGTGGCTCAGGGCCCCGGGGAGGAAACGGTCACCTGGGCTGAGAACCATCCCTGGGGACCGTTTGCCCCCGAGAATTTCTCAGGGTTACTCATCACCTTATTAAGTGTCTCTGTTTTTTTGGGGCTGGGCTGGGGTGATCTGAGTGTGATTTGTCCCCAAGGTGGGGAGTGAACCCACAAAACTTTCAGGTGTGAACCGAGGGCAGTTCTGGTAACTGGGGAGCTCTGGTATGAACGTGGTTTTTCCAAGTGCCAGTGAAAGGCTGGGGAAAATCCCCTCACCTCCATGCCCCTGTAGTCATTTGTGGGTGGTGATTGTCTCAATTAGCACTCACGGGTGGGTGATTAATCGTGGGGAGGGGTGGGAATGCACAGAGGAAACAGTAGCAGTTGTTTCTTCCCTGGATGCTGAGTCCTGTCGACATCCCTGAGACAGGAGGGAGTCACAGCCAGTTCTGGTGACTCCTGCAGCCCAGACCTCGGGTGGGCACCTGGTGCCTGCATCCTGTGAGTCCCAGGCATATTTCATTCTGATTTATTTGGCGAATTCTTGGGCAGGATTTGCTGTTCCCAGTTGAATTTGGGACCTGTTTGCAGCAGGCTCCTCCCAAAGGAGAGTGGAGAGGTGCAGGTGGGGAATGGGCAGAGCACGTGCAGCATCCCTGGAGACTCTCCTTCCCCCTCAGACTCCAGTGTTAATTCCTCCTTGCTCAGAGTCTTTCTTATTTCTTCCCCCGAGGTTTGTCAGCAGGAAGCTGTGGCCAGGCAGCACCACAATGTTCATCTTCCCTTCTCCCTCCTCCTGGGGTGGAGCTGGAGGAGGAAAGCGCTGTCTGATGCCTGTTCTTCACTGCTGATCCTTCAGGTCTCAGTCCTGGGGTTCTCCCTCCCTGGATCCTGGGGTTCTCCCTCCCTGGATCCTGGGGTTCTCCCTCCCTGGATCCTGGGGTTCTCCCTCCCTGGATCCTGGGTTGCTCTCAGGAGGCACAGATGGATGGCTGGCACAGATCTCTTGGATCTCTCTGCTCCAGAATCAATTTGGAGTTGAGGTGGATGAAAATGGCTTCATTTTGAGGGTCAAAAGTCCTTTTTTGGACTTTACCTAGCTGAAGGTAGCTTTTCCAGGCAAATAGAATCCCTTTCCCACTCAGCAGTGCAGGGGTTTATTCCTGGTCATCCAAGGGCTGAGCAGAGGCATCAGGAGCCCGCCTGGCCCTTCCAGAGGGGACCTGAGGCAGTGGCACATCTCTGGGCAGGAGCTGCTCCACAGTCCATCACCTGGTGGTCAGCTTTCCCTGCCCACCACGATTTCCATGGATTTTAACCCCGTTTGGAGCACATCCCGCTCCAGTCTCCCATTGTCCTCACTGCAGAGAGGGAGGGGAGGGAACATCTGAGGACCTGTGAAGGATTTGGGCTTTGGGACCCGCTGGAGTTAGTGCTGGATTACAACACCCAGGGGCTGCTCTTCCCCCTCTGTGCTAATCAGGGGATGTTGCTGCTCTTTCACAACCTCCCAGGGTGGGGAGGGGAAGGGGAGCTTCTTCATCAAGGTTTGGACAATGGTTCATCCTGGCCTCTTCCCATGGATCGCTGCCACCTGGACTCTGGGGGTGCTGGCTCACATTCCCAGCAGGTTTGCTTCCTTCTCCTGCTGGGATGCTTGGCACCAGCTCAGCAGCTGAGAAGGGACACACTTGGAACAAACTCTTGAGGAGGTTATTCTAGGGAGAAGGAAATGATGCAAGGAGGGACTTGTCCATTTGGAGGAAGTTGGATTTCCGTCAGGGGCATTATCTGACCTACCTTTCCTTTTTTTCTTTTTTTTTTTTTTCCCTTTTTTTATCTTTTAATGAAGGCTTTTCTGGCCTGTGCAAGAGGGTGTTCAGCTGCTTGGGGAGAGCAGTTGTAAGTCACCTCCATCTGCCTGCTTTGCTCCTAATACGTTGGCTTGTCTTGGAAATCTTCAACCTAAAGGTCAGTTTTGCCAACAGCCAGGAATTTCCTGGCAAAGCCTGAGGAGGATGGAGCCTCCAGGCAGATGATGAGGGGAGCAGCAGTGGCCCCGAGGGCCACGAAGAGTGAAAATAAGAGAAGTAAGAGCTGGGTAGAGAAGGATGTTCACTTGTGGTTTTCCAGAAGACACTCTGGTGTTTCCCTGCTTTCCCTTCTGCTTGTGGCACAGGTGGGACAGACGGGGCTGTTTCTCCATCTGGAGTTGGTCCCTTTGCCTTGACATCCAGGCTGGAACGTGCCCAGGGGATGGCAAACAGGGACCCTGTTTCCCATTTGCAAATGGCCTTTGGAGGCTGCTCATTTCTGTAGCTGCTCTGGGGGTGGGTAACAGGCTGCTCTCTCCACCCTCTCTGTGAGTCACCTCAGGAGCACTGAGTGTGTCACCGGGGCTGTGACAGTGTCCCTTGGTCCCTTCTCAGCTGCAGGGACAATCCAGCACAGCTCCCTTCCCTCCTGCTGCTGGGGGGGGTGGGCTCTGCTCCCAGATGGATGTCCAGGCTCCTGCAGGCACAGCGGGTGTGGGGGTGTTGGGAAGGCAGAGCTTGATGTGGCTGTCACTGCATGGCAGGGGGAGCTGCCGGGACTGGCACATCCCAGACAGTCTGCAGAGCTGGGAATGGAGTCAGGCAGTCCCTGCCTGTGGCTCGGGTCTGTCTGAGGGGGCAGTTTGGCTGCAGGACTTTGCTCACCTGCTCCGAGCAGGGGAGGCAGCGGGAATTCTGCTGTCCTGCCTTCTCTCCTGTCTCTCTGCTTTGGGATGCAGCCAGGAGGGATCAGACTTGCAGAGGAGAAGCTCTGCTCTGTGGTTTCCACCCCCTGAGATGCTGGCCAGGCACGGAGAGCCCTGCCCTGGGGGGTGGTCTTGCAGAAGGGGATCTGATGCGTTCCCAGTGCTGGGATGCTCCACGAGCAGTGCTGGCAGCTTTCAGCCCTTCCACGAGGAGGGTGAACTCTGCAGGCTGGAGAAACAAAGGGACATTTTCCACTTTTCTTCCTCTCTTTCATTACCCGGGCAGGGACTGATTGAACGAGGTGCAAAACAAAATGCCAGGAAGAGGATGTTTGTTCCATCAGCAAACCTGCCTGTCCTGTCCCTCGCTGCTTTTGTTCTGCTCCTTCCACAGATAAAGTGATTCAGAGGTTCTGACACTGATCTGAGGGCGGACAGTCCCCAGGGTTAGCAGGAGAGAAGCGAGGAGCAGGGTGGTTTGGCAGGAGAGAGGCTTCCCTGAGCTAAATCCTGTGAGCTGGTGACAGTCCTTGGCGCCGGGCGCCTTCAGCTGCCGTCCCTGGAGCCGGCGGGGCCCTGGGCTCAGCCTCTTGGAACAGCCAGGGCTTGGGGCTGATGGTGAGGAACCTGTGTCTGGAAAAGAGCTGCTGTGGTGCCTTGCAGAGGGACAGGCTGTCCCAGATCAGTCCGTGTCCCAGGTGAGGTCTCGTGGCTGAGCTGCACCTGGATCTGGATGTTCTCCTTGGGACAATATCCCAACAGGAACAGGCTCTGCCACTCCAGAGAGGGTGTTGTGTGTCAGGGACACACAGTGACATGTTGGGTTGCAGCTCTGGGAGGACAGGCAGGAGTGATGATGGGCTGTGTCCCCTCTGCTCTGAGCTCCCCTCTCAGACTCCAAGATTCCTTTGGGATTTGCTGGTTGTGAGGAGGGATTTCCAGGTCCTCCTGACCTCCCTGGGCCTGGGCTGTGCTCCCAGCTCAGGGCAGTGACTGCCAAAGGTGTCAGCTGTGTCCTGTGTCCCTTCCCAGGGAACTGGGCTGATGCAGGAGGAGGCATCCAGCTCTCCCAACCCTCTGGAGCCCTTGGAGGCTCCAGGTGAGCGACAGGCACAGAGCTCTCCATTCCCAGTGGCTCTTTCCTGTGTGGCTGCAATTTAACCAGTGTCCAGCTCCCACTTTGATCCCTGTGGGTCCCTTCCCACTCAGGATATTCTAAACCTCTGTTTCCTTCTTTTCCCAAACCTGATCTCTCCCCTTTGCTCCAATCCCACCTCAAACCAGGCACTCCGTGACCTGTGCTGGGATCCTCAGGCTCTGGAGCTCTTTGCAAGGTTTCTTCTTGCTTTTATCCTTTGGATTTGGCTGAAAACTCCAGCAGGCCTGGCAGGCTGGCCATCCATATGGGAGGTGGGAGCCTGTGGAGGCGAGGAATGGCTTCCTGGGTGGAAAAGTGCAGGCTGTGAAGTGGCAACCAGCACACAGGGCCTCAGGGAGGGAGTTTGGAGCAGGTTGAGCAATGCTGCTCATTTAGACAACTCAAAGCTGGTTTGCTGTGTAAGGAGAAAGAGGGGGTTTGCAAAGAAAGGAGAAAATGAAGGTCTGACCTTGTGTACACCCTGGCTGGGTGCTGGCCCTGGGACCTGCTGGGTGCTGGCTCTGCCAAGGGCTGTTCCAGGGCTGCCCTGCACTGTGTGTCCATGCCAGGGCTGATGCCAGGGCTGGCAGAGCCAGGAGAGGCTCAGCAGGTGCCTGGAGCAGCCAGAGCTCCAGCTCAAACCCATGCAGGGCACCCAGCCTTGCCACCATCTGCTCCCCAGCTCACAGCCAGCACTGACTGGCCCGTGGAGATGCCACAGAAGTCCCTGTTGGGTGCCTGGAGGGGGCACCTCAGCTGGGATGGAGATGTTGGCAGTCACTGGGAAGCATCAGTAGCCTTTGGCTGTATGTTGGTGGCAGAGGTGGGAGCTGGTGTGGCTGTTCAGTGCCTCTTGCTCTGCTGAGCACACTGAAGGCTCTCTTGGTGGAGAAGAGGTGGGATGAGTAGGGGAAGTTCTGCCAAAATGCTGCATTCCCAGCCTGGGACCCCCATTCCCAGCCCCCGAGCTCTGTTCCCTTTGCTGTAACAGGGATACCCTGGGCTGAACTGTTCTGGGAGCCTGGACAGCAGCCTGTCCCCTTGGGAGTGGAGAAGGGATATGGGAATGCTGTGCCTGCTGCTCCCTGCCCTGGTGTTCCCTCGGGGGCTGCAGCAGCAGCGGGACCAGAGAGGGGTGTCAGTGGCTGATCCCTCTGCTCCCTGGAAAGGAGAAACCACATTTATTGCTTCCTCTTCTGAGCTGTGCCCCCAGCTCTGCAGCTGGAATTGTGCCACAGGCTGGGCACAGAGTGGGGACAGTCCCTCTTCCCTCCCCTGTCCCTGGGGTTGTGCTGAGCTGTCCCTCGAGCGCTCCCGCCCTGCTCCCAACTGTCTGTCCTCCCTCTGCAGCACTGGGAGCTTCTGGTCCTGGAGAAGCTGAAGTGGGACCTGGTGTCAGTGATAGCCAACGATTTCCTGCCCCACATCCTGCACCGCCTCCCGCTGCCCCCGGACAACGTGGAGCTGGTGAAGAAACACGCCCAGACCTTCATCGCCCTGTGTGCCACAGGTGGGTGCTGCCTCGCCAGGGCTGCTCCCCCCTGCCCTTTTGGGGAGCTGAGTGCCTGCCTGCATTCCAGTCAGAGCCATTCGAGGTGGGATAATGGCCTTGGGTGCCTGAGAGATGCCAGGAAAGCAGAGCTGTGTGCCAGCCCCTTGCTGTGCCTGTGGGAGGGTGTCTGGGCCTGAATCCGAGCTTTTCGCAGCCTCTCCCTCAGTCTCTAGAGCCACCTCATCTCAGCACTTCTGGAGCTGTTGCTCTGTGGAGCTGTTGCTCAGCCTGTTTTCTTTTCCTTCACCCCCATTTCTCCCTCCTAAGCTGCAGAGCCCCCTCTGTCAGCCCCTCTCGAGTTTTCCGGGGAAATCACGATCCCAAGCGCCGCGTGCACGCTCACTAAGGGCCCCTCTCTCCCCCGTGTCCCTGTGCTGCTGCAGACTCCACGTTTGTGATGTACCCCCCGTCCATGATCGCCACGGGCAGCATCGGGGCCGCCATCCACGGGCTGAGCGTGTCCGTGAGCGACGAGGCCATGACGGAGCTGCTGGCCGGGATCACGGGCACCGACGTGGTGAGTGGGCACAGGGAACAGCTGCTGCAGCTGCTGGGAGCCCTCCCTCTCCTGCCGCTCCTTCTGAGAGGAAGCACTTTTCCGTGGAGGGTGGCAGAGCGCTGGGACGGGGGAGCTGTGCAGTCTCACTCTCTGGAAACGTCCCAAACCCACCCGGATACGTCCCTGCGTCACCTCCAGGTGACCCTGCCTTGGCAGGGGGGTGGGACTGGGTGGACTCGAGAGGACCTTTCCAACCCAAACTGGTCTGTGAGTCTTTGCAATTGGGCTGTTGATGATGGTGCTGACCCTGGTCTGAGCAGAGCCAGGGGAAGAGGGAGCATCCCTAAAACAGCTGCCTCCGGCAGCCCCGTGGCCACAGTGGCTCCTGCCTGGGCAGGGCAGGGTGGGCTGGGCAGCCTTTGAAATGCCACACAAAGGGCAGCGTCTGTTCCCTGCACAGGCAGGTGTTGGCAGGATCGGGTTGATGGGGTGGGAAGGGGCAGAGGGAGGCTCCGGGCTCGGCATCTGCTCCCCTCTGCGGTGTCTGGTTGCAGGTGCCCAGGGCTGGGAGGGAAGGGGGGCATCTGCCAGCCCCTGCACTGCCCTTGGAGAAGGGAAGGAGGATCCTGTTGGGCTCCCCAGGTCGCTCCTGCTGCAGCAATGGGGAGCTTTCCCTCTGCCAGGGCCCCCTTTGATCTCTTCTCGTGCTGCAGGGTCGGTTACAGTCCCCTGGCAGGGCTGGGCGGGCTGGGCTGGGCGGGCTGGGGGGGTTCCACGAGCCTTTGTCCGGGCAGGAGGACGGGCGGGAGGCTCCCGAGCCGCCTGTGCCGATGGAATGGTTTTGTTTTCAGGAGAATCAGTGCAGCCACCTGCTCACAAGCTGCTGCGGGCACGGGGCAGGGGCTGCAACCTGCTCCAGGTCAGGGCTGGGGGGGAACAGGTGGGAAGCAGGGAGGGAACCGAAATGGAGCCGAAATGGAGCCCGGCACAGCCCTGCCACCCTCCCTCCCTCCCCAGGGCATCTGCTGTGCCCCCAGCAAACAGCCCCTGCCCAGGCAGGATTATGGCAGCTCCTGGAGGATCCCAGGATGTATCCACAGTCTTGCAGGGCTCCCTGTGGAGCCCCTGGCCGTGGCCTCCCGTGTCTGTTGGTGCAGATGCTTCTCCTTGAGCCTTGTGGTGTCCCCGGGCTGTGACTCAGTTTCCCCCCTGGCTCCAGCTGGAAGGGTGACCCCCTTCCTGCAGCTGCCGAGGCCCAGCAGGGTAGTGCTGGGGGCGCAGGGCTGGGCCAGCTCCGTGGCCAGCAGGAGTCTGGTGGTGCGTGGCCAGGCTGGCTTTGGCATCTGCCAAAATTGCCAACGGAGAGCCCGGGGATGGGTGGCTGTGGGGATGGGTTTGCAGTGGGGATGGAGAGCCTGGGGATGGGTTTGCAGTGGGGATGGAGAGCCTGGGGATGGGTTTGCAGTGGGGATGGAGAGCCTGGGGATGGGTTTGCAGTGGGGATGGAGAGCCTGGGGATGGGTTTGCAGTGGGGATGGAGAGCCTGGGGGTGGACTGTCCCTGGTGCTCCCAGCCCGGCTGGCAGGAGGAGGCTGTGCTGACGGGAAGCCGGGCCGGGGGAGCGGGCAGGGGGAGTTGGGCGTTGCTATTTTCGCTCGCCACATCCTCTGTCGGTTTCTAAGAACCGCCGGCGGATTCCTGGTAAGAGATTTCGGGGTGTGACAATGTCCCCGAGGTGTGAGCTGCCCCCGAGCTCCCCGGGCTGGGCCGTGCCCGGCGCTGACGCGTCCGGGGGGCTCCGGCATCCGAGTGGGAGTTTCCTCCTCTGGTTACAGCTCGTGGGGGGGGAAAATACACGGTGGGATTTGCATTTGTGATGAGTGGTGGTGCTGCCTGCAGCCCCCTGAGCCTCCCTGTGAGCGGGGCTGGTGTGTCCCCCGGCACTGGGGTGGGTCCCTGGGGGATGCACGGGGGGGGGAACACGGGAAACCTGGTGAGAAGGAAACCTTGTGAGAAGCTGTGTGGCCACAGGATCGTCCTCCCAGCGTGTTGGGGTGTGGTGGTGTGGGTACACTTGGGTGGTTCTTGGGTCAGGGAGGTCCCTGCCTCAGAGACCCCCAGAGTGAGGCAGTGCCCATCAACCAGTGCATCCAGCAGGATTCCTGTTCCCAGCTCTGCTGCAGGAGCACCCCAAGCTCTGGGAGAGCTGGGCTGAAGAGCCTGGGGAGGCAGGGGGGCTCCATGGGCTCCATGTGCTGCAGGCCACTGTGGATCTGGGAAGTTTGGGTTGTAAAAGCCAATTCTGGCCTGTGCAGAGCTGCTCCGCCCTTGCCACGATCCTGAAATCACACCCTGCTTCCAGGCACGAGGCCGGATGCTTTGGGAAGCTCTGATGGGCACAATGTTTCTTCCTGGAGAATGTGCTCAAACAGGGAGGTGGGGAGAGGACAACCAGAGCGTGGGGCTTCGCCTAGGGAGGGGCCCAAAGCACAGACAAGCTGGAGATTCCCCTTGGTGGAGAAAAGCTCCTTTGTCCTGTGTGTTTGGATGCTCCCGGGGTCGGAGATGCAGCCCAGCAGCTGCTCGGAGCGATTCCTAAGGCTCCCACCTCCGAGGAGCAGAGAACTGAAGCCTCTTGTCTGTCTCTCCCTCTCCCCAGGACTGCCTGAAGGCCTGCCAGGAGCAGATCGAGGCAGCCTTAGCCGAGAGCCTGAAGCAGGCGTCCCAGTGCCAGCAGGAGTTCAGCGCCAAGGCGGCGGCGTACGGGGGCAGCCAGCCCACGGGCACCCCCACGGACGTCACCGACGTCAACCTGTGACCAGCCCCGGCCCCGAGAGCCGCCCCTCGCCCTGGGCACCCCCAGCTCTCCGCATCCCACCCGCCCAGCCCGTGCCCGCCGGGGATCCCACCCCTGCCACCCGCGGGGAGCAGGAGCCGCGCTCGGAGCCGCTCGGGTGGCTTGGGGTGAAGCGACTGGTTTTGTGGTGTCAGGGCACCAGAATGCTGGGGAGGGGAGCAGGACCCCAGAAGAAGTTGGAGTTGTTTCTCTGTTGGTGCTTCCCTGGCTCTCGGGGGTGTTTACGGTGACTTCCAGCCCCACGTGGGGCACAAATCATGGACGGCGAGCCCCGACCTGCCCTGCGGGACCAAACCCCTCACAGCCCCCAACTCCTCCCCCAGCCGGGGCTGTGGGGCCGTGGGAGGGACCTGCATGTCCTGGAGCAGGGAGGTACTCCCCAGTTTTCCCCCTGGGCAGGGGGGCTCTGGACCCACAGGGTTCCCTTCAGGAGGGAGCAGCTGCTCAGTGGCCCCTCGGTCCCCGTTGCTTCGTGCCAGATTCCTGCAGCTCCGGGAGGAGTTGTGTGGCTGCTTCTGCTTGGAGGGGAACTGTGGGGCTTGTTATTGCTGTTGGATATGGGATTTCTGGGGACGTGCTCCCTGTCTGTGTGGACAGCAGGAGGGTCCTGGCCTTGGGAGGGGGCAGGTTTGGGCGCTGGCCCCTCGGATTTCGCTGGCCCATGGAGGCTGCTTAATTTATTAACTGCTGGGAAATAGGGAGGGAGGAGACGTGGCATTCCTTGCTGTGGGGCCTTGATGCTGCTCTCCTCTCCTCCCAAAAAAGTGCCTTCCCCCTTCGCCCCTTCCCTGGCTCCCTGGGCAATGGGAGACTCTCACTTGGAAGCTGGTTGGTCCTTTGGTAGCTTAGGCATCAGACTAGGATTTAAGGAATACCTTTGAATGTGCTGCTATAGTCTGGGATGCATCTCCACCTTCCCAGGGCAGGGATCTCGGATCACACTCAGGAGGGGGGGCTGTGTTATGTGTATCCATGTGGATCCGAGCTGTACCCTGAGAGGGTGGAAAACTTGCTGCGCACTTGAGTTGGAAAAGCAATTACTGCGTTTTTTGTATTGTTGTTGTTGATCCTGTTAGTTTTTTATAAAAAGTGTTTTTTAAAAAAATAATGCTGCTTTTCTATGAGAGAACCATTACAGAGTGGAATTGTATTAACCAGGAGGAGCCAGAGACTCCGCAGGGATGGGAGGCAGACGCTGCTGCCTGGGGACCTCTGGACATGTGGCTCCATGGCTGTTGCCCTCCCGTGGGAGATGTGGAGAAGGAGATAGAAATCTACCCTTTTGGATGCCACTAGATACAAAAAAACAGGCAGAAAAAGGTGGGGCTGCTGCTCCTCCCTGAGCCTGCCTTGTCCAGAAGGGCCCCGGAGCCGCTGCCTCCTGCCAGCAGGAGGGCTGGGACAGAGCCTGGCTGTGCAAAAGGAAATGTTTTTTATATATAAATGAATTTTAATTTAAGAGTAAACTGGTTTGGTGTTCACTCCGCTGCTGGGAGAGCCAGAGAACCCTGTGATGTTGCAATAAAGTATTTTAAAGAAGACTGAGAGGCTTGAGGGTTTCCCTGTGTGATTCCCAGGGCAGAGCTCAGATCCCTGTCCCTCAAAGTGCTGGGCTGGGCCCCCCATCACCTGGGGGACCCCTCAGGGGGCTCCAGCCTTGTGTTTCCCAGGATGGAACGGGGAGAGGGCAGGCAGGGCACCCCCAGCCCCACTAAGACGTTCCCAGGTAAGTGCAGCCTCGTGGGACACGGGGGGAAGGTCCCCCCTGGGTTTTCCAGCAAAGGTGGCACATGAGAGGTGCCACGAGCAGGCTGGGCATGAGGCCTCGATGGGCAGGGGAGGACAGTGGCCCCATGGCTTCACCAGCCTTGCCAAGAGGAGGTAAATAAACCCCATGAGTGTGGGGGGGAAATCCCTGGGGCAGGGAGGGGGCCAGCATTCCAGAGGCTGGTGGGGACAGGGACAGGGGACGGGTCAGCTGGGGCAGGGACAGTCCAGGACCACACAGGGATGTGGCTGCAGGGCAGAACCAGCCCTGACTGACCAACATGGCTCTGGTTTTATTTTCCAGTCCAGGAACAAGCCAAACTCAGTGCTGGTGGCACCAGGACCCTGGGTGGGACAGGGGCTGCCTCGTCCTGTGACAAGCAGCACAGGGAGCTCAGTCCAGCCCCGTGGGCACAGTCCGTTCCCAATGACCGCTCGGAGCAGGAGGATCCAGGACGGATGTTCCTGCATCCAGCAGCATCCCGGGAGCAGGTGAGGCCGCAGCTTTTCCCTGGCCCTGCTCACTCCATGGCCACGGGCTCCTGCCCCTCCACGTCCCGCGTCTTGGAGTTCATGAGCTCCCTGCGGATCTCGGGCGAGATCTGCGGGTGGCTGTGGAACTTGAGCAGCTCCAGCAGGGCCTCCTTCTGCTCCGAGGACAGGTCCTCCTTGTAGCGCTGGGCGAAGGCCAGGAAGCTCTGGTGCCACAGCACAGGCAGCACCCGCTGGTCCGTGCGGAAGGCCAGGAAGTGGAACACGAGGGCGTCGACCACGCGGAAGGGCAGCGCGTACTTCTTGTCGATGAGCAGGCGCAGGAAGATGCTGTTGGCACCGCTGTACTGCATCTCTGCCAGCTTGAGCATGGCAGCACTGTGGGCACAGGGAGAGGGGTCGGGGGGCTGGGGGCACAGGGGACAGGAGCCACAGGGACAGAAGAGGAGGCCAGGCAGGAGCCACGGAGAGCAAGGAGGGAGCACAGGGGTCAGAGGGGCTGGAGCCACGGGGAGGGAGGAGGGAGCATGGGGGGGGAGTGGGGCCAGGCAGGAGCCACAGGGACCAAGGAGAGGGTCGGGGGGCTGGGCTGGAGGCACGGGGCACCAGGCACCCGGACGCAAAGCTGAGCCTTGACTCTCAACCCCAGAGGGAGCTGAGTGACCCCACCACCACCTCCAAGGGGCTGGAGAGGCTGAGGGCTAGATCCAAGGTGCTTCCCAGTGTGCCTGAAGGAGAAGCTTTGCCCCACACACCCCCCAGCCCCTCACCTGGAGTGCAGGACGGGGATGGAGCACTTGGTGAGGATGCTGCCGATGATGATGGCCTCCCGCAGCGTGCACGTGCCCGACTCACACAGGGGCAGGAGGATCCCTGCGGAGGGGAGAGTCAGGCAAACCCCACCAGGCACCCAGACAAGCCCCAGATCAGCCCCTGCAGGAGCCCCTACCCTTGAACCAGGCTGCTGGTTTGAACAGGGCCTTCTTCAGAGCCATGTACAGGTGGAAGTTGAGCCGCTTGTACTCGGCGATGTCGTCCCGGACCCGCGGCAGCAGCACCAGGTTGTAGAACCTCTGGGCCATCCTCTCCTTCAGGTTGGATGAAAATATCCTGGGAACACCAAAGCATGGAGGGAGGAGGGGTGGGGAAAGGGGGCCAAATAGGGAAAGGATGGTGTTCTGCAAATCTGATTCCAACTATGGAAAGGAAAAGCAAAGTGAGTCAGGGGCTCATGTCAGAGGCTCCCTGGGGTGACCTGACCTTACCTGGTGGCCTGGTACATGGCAGCAGCTGTCCACGCCTCTGGCTCGGTGATGTAGAGGATCTGCTCCCAGTTGGACAAGGCAGGAATGATTTTAAATGCCTTGGGGAGCTTCCCACTCCTGTATTTGGACAGCACCTTCAAAGACACAGATACAGGCCATGGCTGTGGGCACTGCCAGCAGGGCTGTCCCCTCCCTCAGCACCTCAGGGGGGTGACTGTGGGTTCAGCTGCTCTGGCCTCACCTCCCTGACCCCTCTGTAGACCTCCAGGACACGGGGATCCAGCTGGGGCATGGGGCAGCCTGAGAGCTCCGACAACACCGTCTCCACCTCCGTCTTCTTCTCCGTGAGCTTCTCCATGATGATGTCAGCCAGGGTGCGCCTGGGCCGGCACGGGACAGGGTGAGCGGGGGGCCAGGAGGGGCTGGCAGGGGATGGGGTGAGTCGGGGGCTGGCAGGGGGCAGGGAGCGAGTCGAGGGTCGTGTGGGACTGACATGGGACGAGGGTGAGTCGGGGACTGTCACAAGATGGGGATGAGTTGGGGTCTGACAAGGGACAGGGAGTGAGCCGGGGGCTGTGTGGGACTGACAGGGGATGGGGTGAGCAGGGGCCGGGGTCGGCTGACAGGGGACAAGGTGAATTGGGGGCTGACATGGGGCACGAGTCAGGTGGGGGCAGTGCAGGGAAGCAGCCCCTGCCCCGGTGCAGCCCCTTCCCCGGCGGTTCCTCACCTCAGCGGCGGGTTCTTGTTCATGAACATCTCGATTGCCTTCTCGTCCTCGGGGTCCACCTCCACCTCCCCGCCGTACTCCCCGCCCCGTCCCGCCGCCGCCGCCTTCTCCAGCGAGGGCCATTCCTCATCGTCCTCCGAGTCCGAGCCGGGACCTGCGGGGAGCGCCGGGGGCTGAGCCGGGGCCGCGCACCCTCGGGGATGCCGGGGGGTCCCGGGGGGCTCGGGGGTCTCACCCAAGGCCGCGCTGCGCTGCCGGGGGGCTGCGGGCGCCCCGGGGCCGTGCTCGGCCTCCAGCTCCTCCTGCTGCCGCCGCGCCTGCTCCAGGATGCGCCGGGACAGCCGCGCGTCCACGAACCCGTCCCCGCCGTCCTCCCCCTCCTCCCGGCCGGCCCCGCCGCGCTTCCCCCGCGCCCGGGCCCGCGGGGCCGCGTCCTGCAGGATCTGCTCGGCCAAGGGCAGCGCCGGGGCAGGGCCGGAGCCCCGCGCCCGCCGGGCCTTGGGCATCGCGGGGGTCCGGGAGGGGAAAGCGGGCCCGGGCTGGGAACGGGGAAGGGGAACAGACACGTGGGTGCTCGCCCCGCCCGTTCCGGGGTGGCCCCTTCCCGGGGCCTGTTCGTCCCGCCCGTTCCGGCGGCGGCACCGGGACCATGGGGGTCACCTGGTGAGGGCGGGGGGCTCCGGGAGGGACGGGGCAGCCCCGGGGCCGCGGCGGGGGGGGCTCCCGGTGGAGGTGGGACCGGCACCGGGCAGGGGCTCCCGGCGGGCGGGGGGTGCCCGGGGCGGGGGGCCAGCCCCGAGGACGCGGTGAGGGGCTCCCGGCGGTGGGAGGGCAGCGCCCGTGACCCCCCGGCCCCGTGTCCCAGCGTGTCGCAGGTGCCGGTGGCCGAGGGCAAGAGCGTGCAGCAGACGGTGGAGCTGCTGGCGCGGCGGCTGGAGGCGCTGGGCGCGGACAAGCAGGGCACGTTCGGCGTGGACTGCGAGACCTACCACACGGCCGGGGCCATCGGCACCCAGGGTGAGCACCGGCACGGCCCCGGCGGGGGGCTCCGCCGGGCTTCTCACCTCCTTCCCCCACTTTTGGTTTTTTCCCCATTTCCCTCTCCCTCTTCCCCTTCTCCTTCCCTTCCTTTTCGTCCTTTCTCTTTTCTCCTTACCTTCCTTCTCCTTCCCTGCCTTCCCTGGAGGTGTTAAAGAGGCACCGTCAGTCACTGGGTGATGTGTTCGCTGGGTGATGTGGTTCAATGGGTTAGAGGTTACAGTGGCAGTGTGGGGCTGGTGGTTGGACTTGAAGATCTTGAAGGTCTCCTCCAACTTTGACGATTCTGTGATTCCACTATTCCTTTTCCTTCCTTTCCCCTTTTCCCTTCTCCTTCCTTCCCCCTGGACTCCCACGTCCTTTCCAGACCCTGCTGTGACAGTCAGAGGTGGCTCAGTGGCCCTGAGCCCGTGCAGCCCCAGGCTCTGCTCAGCCAGTGTTCCTGAACAGAGCAGTTTGGAGCTTCCAGAGCAGCTTTTTCCTCCTTTTTCTGCAGCTGGAACTTGCACATCTCCATGGAGGAGAGGCTGAGCCCAGGCTCCCTTTGTGCCTGTGGGCAGGGGGTGCCCAGCCAGGGATGGGGGCTGGGTGCTCTTGGCTGATCCCCTCCAGACTCCAGAGTCGCGCTGGTGTTGTCCTGAGGCACCAGAGCATTTAGTTTTCCCAGTAAACCTTCAGAATGAAATCCCATCTATTCCCTGAATGGCTGGATAACATAACATCCGTGTGGAGATGCAGAGTTAAAGCACCAAGGGGGACACAGGTGCTGTGTCAGGCGGGTACAAGCACAGGAGTGCTGGTTTCCCAGCCCGGATCCCCTGGCTGTCGTTCCAGGGCAGACAGGGAAGCTGATGTACGTGATGCACAACTCTGAGTACCCCCTGAGCTGCTTCGCCCTCTTCGAGAACGGGCCCTGCCTCGTGGCCGACGCCAACTTCGACACCCTCATGGTGAAGCTCAAGGGCTTCTTCCAGAACGCCAAGGCCAACAAGATCGAGAGCCGCGGCACCCGCTACCAGTACTGCGACTTCCTGGTGAAACTGGGCACCGTCACCATGGGGCCCAGCGCCAGGGGCATATCCGTGGAGGTGAGGGGCCTCTGGGAAGAGTGGGGAATACAAGGACACGCAGGGAAATTCCATGAGGGAGGACAGAGGAGGAGGGTTTAGGGGTGACTGAATTGTGGCTGTCCAGTGAGCTGAAAAGGAAGATGGAGAGACACTATTTTACAAGGTCCTGGAGGGGCAGGACAAGGGGGAATGGCTTCACACTGACAGAGGGCAGGCTTAGATGGGATATTGGGAAGGAATTCTTGGCTGGGAGGGTGGAGAGGCCCTGGCACGGGTTGCCCAGAGAAGCTGTGGATGCCCCAACCCTGGGGCGAGGCCAGGTTGGATGGGGTTACCCCTCCGTGTTACATGCTAAACATTCTGGGATGTTTTCATGGAAAGCACACCCTGCAGCGAGGCAGGGAGCAGGGCACTGCCCCTCCTGCCAGCTCCAGGGCTGTGGGCTGTGTTCCCAGGTGGAATACTGCCCCTGTGTGATCGCCAACGACTGCTGGAACCTGCTCATGGAGTTCATGCAGAGCTTCATGGGCAGCCACACGCCCGGGATCCCGTCGGTGTTCGGGGCCAAGCACGACAGCGTGTACAGCCCCGGGGACACCATGGTGCAGTACATGGAGCTCTTCAACAAGATCCGCAAGCAGCAGCAGGTGCCTGTGGCTGGGATCAGGTGAGAGGATTCCCTGGAGCTCCTCCTGGGAGTACATCCTCCTTGCTGCCCGCCCAGCAGGATCGGGAGTCCCTCTGAAACGCGGCATGGGATGGTTTTTTTCCTTCTGCATCTCCTTCCCCTGGTTCAAAGCAGAGTTTTCCAGTGCTGTGTGTGTTTCTGGTTGTTCTCTGTGGTTTGGAGCGTGTCTGGGATTGGATCCACGGTTCTGCGGATTGGATCCGTGGTTCTCTGGTTCTTTGGGCAGTGCTTTGTGCAGGAATCAGTGTCCATCAGCAGGAAACTGCAGGAAAAGGAGAAATTCCAGCCAAACACAAGGGCAGAGCTTCTGTGACTGCAAACAGCTACGGAACAGAGCTTTTAATTTTTTACTTCTTTTTTTAATATCCACATAAAGGTGTCTTCTTGTATTTCACCCCAATAAACCTGTATTTTTGAGGAGTCTCTGCCGTGTTCTGCTTCCAATTACCCCCTTGACGTCAGTGGGTTTCCACGGGGGAGAGGATGAGGAGGACTTAGTCATTCATGTCTCAGCAAAGCCTATTGGTCTCCATTCTGGGATCGGCTGCCTCGTGTTACTCTGGGGCTTTTTGACTTTATTGATGGACAAAATTACTCTTTTGAGGTCCCCATCACCTCAGAGACCCTGTGGGGTTCCCCCCCATCACCTCAGAGCCCCCGCGGCCCCCCATCACTTCAGGGTCCCCCATCACCTCGAGCCCACCCTGTCACCTCAGGGACCCCGCGAGGTGCCTCCCGCCACCACGCAGCCCCCCGAGGAGCCCCCGCGCTGCCCCTTTAAGAGCCTCTTTGTCTCCGAGACACCTTTATTTACCCTCCCGCGACTCGCCCGAAGTTCGGCCCCGCGGTTCACAAAGCGCGGCGCGTCACGGGCGGGGGGCGGGACTCGAACCCGCGCCGTCCCCCCCGGCGCCCATTGAGCAGCGCCCCCTGGCGGCCGCGCAGACTGCGTACGGCCCGCCGGCGGCGAGCCCGCTACGCAAAGGGCGCGCGTGCCCTACGCAAACGGCGCGCGGGGCCCCGTAGGGAGCAACGGGCGCTGCGCTGCGCAATTGGCGTAAGCGGCGGGCAGCGGGGGGCGGGAGCCGGCGCTGAGTGACGCGCGCCCCGGCCAATGGCGGAGCGGGGCGGGGCGGGGCGGCCAATGGGCGGGGAGGGGGCGTGGCCGGCGCGGGCGTCTCGCGCTGGGTGACAGCTCGCGCGTGCTGGTGATGGCGGTAAATAAAGGGGACGGGGGGGGGACACACGGGACGCGACCCCCCCCGAGGGCACGGAGGGGGGAGAGCCGTGAGGGGCTGCGGGAGGTGAGGGGGGTGAGGAGGGTGCTGAGGGGTCCTTGCTGCCCCCCTGCTCCTCAAAGCGACGCCCCCCCCCCCTTTGCCCCCCCGCGCGGTGCGGTTGCGGGGGGGTTGGAGGCGGACCCCTTTATTACCCCTTTATTACCCCTTCTCTCCCCAGCACGGGGGTCGCCGCCTTTGTGTGCGGGCGGGACCCCCTCGCCGGGCTCGGCGGCTCCGCAACTTTCCCTTTGTTGAGGGACACCCCCCCCGCCATCCCCGGGACCCCCGTCTCCAAACCCCCCATCCTGCCCTGGAATGTCGTCGGGACCCTCCCCGCCTTCCTCGGGACCCCCCTCCTGACCCCCTTCCACCCCCGGGGCCCCCCTCTCCACAATTCCCCCCTCTGGCACCGACCCCTTGCTCCATCCCCCCCTCTTCCCCAGGACCCCCCCGTCCCAAGGATTGACTCCCCCCCCAGACCCCTTCCCCTCCCCGGGACCCTGGGGGGGTGCTGGGGGTCGTGGCTTTGCTGGGAGGGGGGAGAAACGCGCCTTAAAAATATCCCCCTTAAACCCCCGTGCTGTGCTTGGAGGGGGGGGGGGGAGGAGGGCACCAGAATGAGGAAAATCTGTGCGGGTTTGTATTTATTTAGGAGAAAAAAACACATACAAAAGAACCCCAAAAAAGCCGCGGGTTTGTGTCTCGCACGGAGGGAAGGAGCAGAAGTTAATCCGGGGGGGCCTGGGTGCACCTCGGGGTTGGGTTTGTTGGTGAGAAATGTCCACCCCGGGAGAGAAACTGCTTCAAAATCCCCTTTTAAACCTCGAAAAGGGTCGCAGCAGTGACAACCCCCCCGCCCGCCACGAGGGCTCCCAGAGCCGAGGGAATAGCGGATAAGGGATAACTGAGCCCCTGGAACGGGGAGTCAGTGCTGGAAAAGGTGCTAATTTTAGGAAAGGCGCCCGTTAATCGCGTTACCGGCGGTCGGACGGAGGGAACGAGCCCGATCCGAGCGTCAGGACAGCTCCGGGTCTCCAGCAGGAGAACACTGAGTGGGGAGAGCATCCCGTTATCCCGAAACGTTGGAGCGGGAGGGTGGGAAGCGCCTTTACTTTGCGGAGTTACTCCTGTACTCTTAGTCACGGAGAGATGCTGCGAACTCCTGGAGTCGCTGAGCTCGTCTGGTGTGAAATGATGCAAAATTCGGTCCTTTCACACGCTGCCGCCTCGGGGAAGATGCTCGTGGAAACCCGGGAAAGAGCTGCTGATTCCTCGTTCCAGGGAAGACTCTGACTTCGGCAGGAGCTTCTCCTGGAGGAGAATCGATTGGCAAGGCAGGAAATAGGGAGCAGATTAAATGGGATGATAAGGAGAGTGAAAATAAGGTTTTAGGGAGGGGGCTGAGAGCTGAGCTGCTGCTGGAGCTGAGGAATGAAGGGGCACGGGAATGAGGAGCAGGTAAATCGGTGGAATGGTGAATTAAAAGCTCCGCGTGGGTGTGAACAGTGTGGATTAGGCTTGGATTAAACAAGTGTCCCTGTGAACTGGCTGGAGCTGCACCGTATCGAATTTTCCCTGGATTTCTGCTGCTCTGCCTTGGGCAGCTGCACCCGGGGGTTGCTGCAGTTGATCCAGTGTCAGAGAGGTTGGACGATGTTTTAAAAGGAACGGGCAACAAAAGCGTTTGGCGTTTTATTTGGTTTCAAAACAGGCTGGGTGCAAATATTTGGAAACGATGTGCCAAGCGTGAGCAGCATTTGATGTCTCCGGGCTTTCAGCACGAGGCTGCAAACCATAAATGTGTGTTTATTCCTCCCCTGATTATTCTCCCTACGAATAGGAGCTGGCTCCAAGTGGAAGGGGTGTTTTGAAGTTGGCAGATTTTCCGCTCTGGAATAATTCTTGGTCTTGTGCAAGTTGGGTCTGTTACAGAGAATTCTGCTTGTTCAGGAGCGGGGCTGGACAATAGTCACATATGCAACAGTTTAGGGGCTGTTAGAGCCGGGAAGCCAAAACTGAGGATTTATTTGGCTGTTGTGTGTCCAAGGATTGTTAGTGAGGAATCTCCTGCTGCAATTCCTGTGGAGATTCCAGCTGCATGTGGTACAAAGCCCTGGGCTCCACAAGAGGCCTGTGAGGATGAGGAATTGGGGATCAGCCTGCGGAATGAACCGGGGCTGGGGATCGTCTGGATTGGGATGTATCCATGGGGGGTTGTGCTGCTGGTCCCTGGGACAGAAAAAGGCACCTTTGGGTTCTGTGTCTCCCCTCTGCTCTGGGGTTTTTTGCTGCAGTGGATTTGTTGCTGGTCCTTGCTGCCTTAAACCCAGCTCTGTCCACATCACACCCTGCAGGTTGTTTTCTGCAGTGCTAAAACACTCACTTGTTAATTATTATTTTTAAGTAGTTCTGTTTTGTCTCAGAACAAGTGACAAGAAGCACTTTCTCAGCAGCAAAGATGGTTTTTTCAGCATAAATTACTGAAAGTGCATTTTAAGATCCTGGGTTTTTTTGGCCTTTTTCCCTTTTGTTACCTGTTTTTATACTGAAATGTCTTAGGCCTTTTGCTGAGACTCCTAAATTGAAATTTAGTGTTTTCTCAGCCCTTAGAAGATGTTACTGGATTGATTTAGAACAGTTAATAAGTGGAAATACTACAAAATTCAGCTTCTGTCCCATGAGGTCCTCGTGGATTCTTTCACACAAGTTTTTTGCTTTGGGGAAGTGTAAGAGGGTTTCTGAAGTTGTTGTCAGCTCTGAGGCAAAACAAAACTAAGAGGTTTGGTTTCAAATTGTTGTAAATGAACAGAGAGATACTCAGTGAGCTGCTTGGAATCTTTGTGGATAACTGGGAGCAGCAGGTGAGGTGGAAGGGGGGAATGGGGAGCTGGGGTCACCCTGAGCTGCCTGGTGGGACAAAAGACCCCAAAGATCCCCCCAGTCCTTTATTTTTGGCAGGAATCCTCTCCAGTGAATGAGAAGTTTCTCTCACTTCGTTTAACAACCTTTGTGGTTTTCATGTTGAATATTTCATCGGGGGTTGGTTTTGTTGTTGGGTTTTTCCCCTTTGGGGAGATGTTCCTGTTGTTAATGGCTCGGTGGGTAAACACTTCACCTTTCCCAAACACTTCACCGCGGGCTGTTTGGTAGGAAAAAAGCCCCCCTTCAATGCCAGTGAAAGGAAGACCATCCTCGTTAGTGTGAAACCCTTAACGAGTCATTGCTCTGGAGGGAGCAAATCCAAATTGTTTAACAGAAACCATTTAAAAATCTGATTTACAGGTGAGAATATCCCAGGTTTTTTGTTGATGTGGACCAGCCCTAATGCTCTTCACCTTGGTTTTATGAGACTTTAGCTGAAAGATGGCTCGTGTGAGGCTGTAGAGTCGTTTGTGGCTCAGGAGCCGGGGAATTACAGCTCTGGCACCCAGGGAAACAAAACAGATTAAAGGGGGAGCGAGGGGACAGGAGGTAAAAACAGGGGTGAGGTTCTGCCCTTTGCCAGTGTCACAGGGAAATAATTTCTGAGTGAACTAAAGCTGATTATTTGTGTGTTTGCAGTAATTTATATCCTGGTGTGCTGAGGAAAATGCAGATTAAAAGGCACTGCTAAAATACACTGTTCTGCTGGGTTTGAAAGGAAAAAAACCTCTTTTTTTTTGCAACGGTGTTGAGAAGTGTCTGTAGCAGACAGGAGACAGGCAAAAAAAATGAAGCTGGCTGCATTGTGCTAAGTGTCGTTAATGAGCTTTTTGCTTACAGTGTGGCAGTGAGTGCATATGAACTATTACACCTTCAGTACATGACAAAAATCAGTTGAAATGCCTCAGAAAGTGGCAAATTGTTGGGACAAACCCTGAGATTTTTGAAAGCACGCTCACTAGGTAGGTTCCTTTAATTAGGTAATTATAAAGTAATTCACTGAGAAGTCTGGCTTTTTAAAAGCTTTGCTGAGAGAGTAGAAAATACCTGAAAACCAGGAGCTTTTCTTGTTCCTCCCCACGGTGCTCACACTTGCTTTCTTGTCTCACTGCTTGGCTCTGTAATTCAGCTGCGTTTTCAAATGGAGACAGAGAACTGAAATCCTGGGATCTGACAGCTCCCAGTTACTCTGAAATGTGTCTTGTGTAACGTGTCAGTCATGACAAATGCACTATTTAAAGAAAAATTCAGACTAAGGAGGTGCGTTCGAGTGTTTTGTAACTCTGCTGACTGGAGTGCAAGAGGGAAAAACACATCCTGGGGCACAGGAATCCCTGCAGAGGGGTGGAATTGCTAAATAGCCTGCTCCAGCTTGGACTTTAAAAAGCAAATAATAGTTTGGGGTGTGGTGTAGATTCGGGAAAACTTTCACACTCAACCTCTGAGCAAGTGCACTGAAAAAGAAACTCCTTCCCCCCCTCCCTCCCCGGGCGCAGCCAGGGCCGGCTTTTCAAAGCCCCAATTTACTGGAGCAGAAGCTTTAGAGCATTTCTGGGCTTTTCAGGCCTTTCAGGCAAACCATGGAAGATCGAGTCAAGAGTTATGGGCCACAGCTGTGGCCCTGCATTGAGGGTTCTGTGGGAGATCAGCTGAGCTGATTAGGGAACGGGGAGCACGGCTCCCGGCCCTCATTCCCTGTGAAAGGCAGGTCCATGCCCTCATCCCGGCCCTCATTCCCTGTGAAAGGCAGATCCATGCCCTCATCCCGGCCCTCATTCCCTGTGAAAGGCAGATCCATGCCCTCATCCCGGCCCTCATTCCCTGTGAAAGGCAGGTCCATGCCCTCATCCCGGCCCTCATTCCCTGTGAAAGGCAGGTCCATGCCCTCATCCCGGCCCTCATTCCCTGTGAAAGGCAGATCCATGCCCTCATCCCGGCCCTCATTCCCTGTGAAAGGCAGATCCATGCCCTCCGTGGAGGAGCACTGCCTTGGGACCATATTTTCCCATTCACTTGCAGTGGGCGGCTGAGATTTGATTAAGAAATACTGTCCTCTAATTCCATTCTGCCCCTTCTCTCTCAGGCTTTGAAAAGCCTCTGGAGACAATCCCGGGGTTTGAAGTTGGGACACAAGTGGTGTGGAAGGAGGGCCTGGGAGGGGAGGTGATGAAGATAAGTGGATTTTAGCTGGAAATGCTGAAAGAGTGGCCTAAGGAGGGCACTCAGAGCTGGCTCCTGGTTCTGCACTGCTGGGGCTTTGTTCCCTTTTCCCTGGGAGGGATCAGTGTCTCTAAGACCCACTCCATGCCAGTAAGTTCCTGACAAACGTGCTTTCCTGTTCTTCAAACAGCAAAACTCTGTTTTATATTAAATCGCAGAATGGTTTGAGTTGGAGGGACCTTAAAGCCCATCCAGTGCCACCCCCTGCCATGGGCATGGGCACTGTCCCAGGTGGCTCCAAGCCCCGTCCAACCTGGCCTTGGACACTTCCAGGGATGGGGCAGCCACAGCTTCTCTGGGCAACACAAACACGAAAAGCATGTTTTGATTTTAAAGACAAACATTCTAGACTTAGAATGGTATTAATTACACCGAAAAAAATCCATGTTAACAGTGTGCTGTTCTTAAAAGAAAAAGAAAGTTAAATCAGCTGTTTATTCACTGGAGTTGTGAGAAACAGCCCTTAGCTTGGATTTAATGATGTTTAATCATTCTTTCAGAAACACAAAGGAGGTACTAAAAGCTGTTCAGCTGAGCTATAAAGAACTAAAAGCTATAACTCAGATTCAAAAGTGATTTAGTTCCAGAGGTAAGTCCATAATCCGACCAGTCATGAGTTAATCTGTCATCAGACTAAGACTAGAAGCAAATCTATTTAACTAAGAATAGTTAATTCACCTGAATCAGAGCAAGGCTGAAGATCCTTCTCACAAGAGTTTATTTTGAGAAAATATAATATTCATGCTAGAGAGTAAAAATAGTGAGTGGCTTTCAAAGGGAAAAAACGTGCTTTGGAATTTGCACTGCTCTTCTTCTGCACTTTTGAGGATGGTTTGACCTGCTGGTTGGACACAGTGGAAGTGAGGCAGCGAATAAGGAAGAAAATACCCTGTTTATCATAAAATTGGAGGGGTTTAGGAGCAGCTTTTTGTGGCATCAAACCCAAATTCACCTCTCCCTCTTTGCTTTCCTTGTCCTGTTGTTCCATCTCAAGGCAAATTGAAGGGATGAACTCTAACCTCTTAGTAGGATAATTTATTAAAATAACAGCTGCTCTAGAATCGGGCCTGGGTTGATCTTCAGTTCTTAAGGAAGATTAACAACCTGAGGGTTCACAAATGGGGTTCTCAGTTCCGACCTCGTGCTGTGGGGAGGACAAAGGCACCCCTCAGATCCTGCCTGGAATTCCTAAAAAAAAAAAGGATTTTGGCCAGAACAGGATTCAAAATATTCAAATTAGGAATAATTCCATGGGGGGGGGGGGGAAGGTGCATTTGGGCAAGTGAAATTCTCCCTCATGTGACAGAAACAGAGGCGTGAACCCCGTGTGAGGCTGGGAAGGTTTGGGACTGAAAACACAAATCTTAGTTTTGTTGATGCCACTTCAGGTCCCCGTTTGCACACTGAGGAAGAGGAGGGTTTGCTGGATAAATTTGGTTTTCCCAGCACAAAACAGGCCCATCAGTCGAGCAGGGGAAGAGGATGTGTAAATCCCTCTAATTCTTTGTTGACAAGAAAACAGAGGAGCCCTTGGTCGAGCCCCATGGTCTGAGTGTGGGGGGTCAGAGATTTGCTATTTCCAGAGCTGGGGATGTGGGAATGCTTATGGATACTATACAGATAAATACCATGGAGCATCCTGGGCTGATGTCTGGGGTTTGTTAGTCAGACAAATGAAATAACAAAGTCCTGGCTGCATTTGGATAAATTGGTCGCTGTGTTTCGCTCCATCGACCCATTTATACATTTATATATAAAACCCAGAGAAAATTTATTGCTGTTCTGTCTCACTCATTTGGGGTTAAAAAAAAAAAACCCACCAATAAATTGATTGGCAAGTGAAGGAGAAGGAAATGATGGAGAGGTGTGTCAAAACCCTTCGTTATTTTTGTCTTGTTGTAATCGCTGCTCCTCAAACATATTAGAGGCACCTTCCCTGCTTAAACCACAGCCTGTGGAATATTGCACTTCTATTTAATGCTCTTTGCCTGTTCATTATGGCTGTGAAGATAATAAGGCACAGCCTGCTGGGGTTGTCTGGTGCTTTATTGCTCTGGAGATGGCTCTGACATATTCGTTTGACTGATGGCTCTCGGCGCTGTATCAGCTGCGGTTTGGGGTGGGTTTGTTAATAGTCTGTCGGAGATTCTGCCAAGATGGATATGAATTAAAATGTGGGAGGAAGAACAGCAGAGGACTACCCAGAACTTAGCAAGTCTTCACTCTGTGCCGTAATCCCTCTTTGTGTCTGTCACAAAGGGATCCTGGAGGAGGCTGTTATTCCGCTGAATCCCGGGGCTGCTCACGGATCCCTGCGGCAGCGCCAGGACCCCGACGCGCCGGAGCTGCCAAACTTCCCCTCGTCCCTGGGCCACCGAGGGCTCTGGGTTTGTTTGCTCCGAAATTCCCTGTGTTTTGATACGGAATTAGTCAGGTTTGGGAACGCTGGGGGGGGACGGGGCGAGGTGCTCCGGGGTCAAAACGTGACCGGCTCTGCCCTTGCAGTCCCAGAGTCACGGAATCGTTTAGGCTGGGAAAGACTTTAAGATCATCAGTCCAAAAATGATCAGCAGTCCAACAATTGCTGATGTTATTGTGAAGGCGGGTGGGAATTGATGGGATTTTCCCTGTCAAAAGGCTGAGTGTGCGATTTGTAATATTTTTAATGTATGATCTCTGAACTGTTGCCGTGAACTCAACTCTGAATGTGCTGTTCCTGTGACAATTGGTAGTAAATGTGATGTACTGAACATGAAAATAATGGTTAAAGAGCGTGGGCAAAAGAAAAAAAATGCTTTCTGCAATCTGGAAAAATGTGGGGTTTTGTGTGGTTGGCTGTGATCAAAAGGATTGATAAGGCAGGGAAAGTGGGAAGCCAAGGGAAAGGCTCTCAATCCCTGTTCCTGCTTTGTCAGGCCACGCTGGGATGGACGGGGCTGCTTTGGTTTAACCTGCTCCTTGGTAATGGTTCTGGAGCTGCCACGTGAACCTGGGCACAGCCCTGGGCCCTCCCTGTGCCTGGAGCAGGAGTGGTGCCCCGGGCAGGGGAAGTGGGGAGGGAAGCAAAGCCCCAGGTTTTGCTGTGAGTCCTGACAGTTTTGGGACGGGAAGGGGTGAAAAAGTGAATTTCCCCCTGATTGGGAGGCAGTGCCACTGATTTTGTGCCCCTTAAAGCTCCTACCCTGGCTGAGGTGTTTCAGGAGGAATGTTTGGAGGCAAACAGGTAGAAAGCTTTAGGACACTATTACATGTAACTCTCTGTCACAGCTGTGGAGACAATTCTTGGGGAATTCGTGGATTCTGTCAAGTTGGTCGCTTGACTGGTGAAGTGAAATTATAACTTTGCGTCGGGCAGTCGGTGTCTCCTTCCAGCCTGTTCTGATTCTGCTCTCTTTCCTGTTTGAGTCTGATAATTCAAATTGTATGTGTTTGCTGTAATTGCTTCAGGCTTCTCCAGATGGAAAAGCCAGGGAATTGCTGCGCTGATTCCTTCCCTTTCGGGCTGGTTCACGAGGACCGGAGGAAACTCTGGGAATTGTTTTAATGTCCAGAGAGGGCCTCTGTGCACAGGGTGTGCAGGTTGTGTTTCTCAGCTTACTGACACTGCAAAAAGCCAGCCCAAAAATAAAACCTCGAAGCCTATGGAAAGAGAGGGGAGGAGGGATTTTATGTGTTGTAATAAATGAAGAAGCATTAACTTCTAGAAAGCTGTGAGCTAAGGTGTATATAGCATTTTAATAATGCTTTTTAACATCCAGAGTAGTTAAATAGTAATTCCCACATTTTCAGGGACCTGTAGCACATGGATCTTGTTTGTTTGTGTGTTTTACAGTGACTCTAAAGAATATATAGTCAATATTGCACATGGACATTGATTCTTAGAGCTAAAGAGGTGAAATTAAAAATACAGGTAGCTGGGATGTTACCTGAGGTTTTAGTCAATTATTTCTATTTATCTCTTAGATGAGAGACAGTGTGAGTTTGGCTCGATAAGAATATTCCTATTTCATCTTTAAAATACTTTAAATTATAAAAACTTCCAAGTTTAGACTGGTGTGGCTGGGTTTGAGTGGCAGTGTGAGCACAGAGCAGCCCAGTCCCGGGGGGAGGGAGGGATTGCACCTTCCCTCTGCCTTGCCAGGATTGTTTGCAACCCCTGAGCTGCAGCTCCATTTGTAGGGAATGTTGGACTGGCTCCGGTTTAATGGGATCTTCCTTGGGAAGGAATGTGGATAGAAGACACATGTGTAGGGATTTGTTGGCCTGTGTGAAGTTGGAATTATGGCTCTTGGAGGACACAGCAGTGCCAAGTCTTTTGTTGGAGTCATAAATTTATTCCAACCCAACCAAAGGAGTTTGGTGGCTTTTCTGGCTCCTTGGAGTTCACCAGAAAGCAGAGAGAGTGTGTGTGTGTGTGTGTGTGTGCCTGCAGGGAGGTTGTTCTGGGGAGTGCAGCTAAACCAGTTCACCAGGACTGAGAAGAGCAAAAAAAGGCAGGATAAGGTTATTTCATCCATTCCAGGCACTGACTTGCTTTAGGAATGGGGAATATTCCTCTAAGGACAGAGGATGGGGACGTGGTGGTGACGTTTTTTGGTGCAGCACTTCCTTTTTTCTAACAGAATATCAATGATATGAGTTTTTCTGCTTGAAAAAATGTCGTTGCCAGAGTCTTTGAGTGGTGAGGAAGAATTCAGGAGGAATTTCCTCATGGAAAGGGCACTCAGGCATTGGAAGGGGCTGCCCAGGGAGGTGGTGGAGTCTTCACTCCTGGAGGTGTCCAGGGAAGGACTGGAGGTGGCCCCCAGTGCTCTGGGCTGGGGGACAAGGTGGGGATGGGGCACTGGGTGGACTCCATGGCCCTGGAGGGATTTTCCAACCTCAGGGATTCTGGGATTCTGTAAATACAGGGCTTTGCTGTGAGTACACCCTTAGAACTGGAACATGAATGCTTGAGCAGGAGTTTTTTTCCCCCATCTCCAGTGCAGCTCAAATTACATGTTTTCATTAGACATCTGGTTCAATAATTGGTTCCTCACAAACGGGGAGGTTAAAACAATCACAGGAATAACGGGTTGGAGTCGTTGTGTGCAATTTTGGAGATCTCTCCTCTCTGCTATCGCCATGTTTGCGTTTTTGGGTGTTTGCAGCAGGGTGGAAAATCCAGAGTTCCACATAAAAATGGGTTATTGGGCAGGGGGGAGTGGAAAGTACTTGGGGTTTTGCATCTAAATTTTTAAACCTATTTCACAGTATCATAGAATCACAGGATGGTTTGAGTTGGAAGGGACCTTAAAGTGCCACCAGTGCCACCCCCTGCTGTGGGCAGGGACACCTTCCACTGGCCCAGGTTGCTCCAAACCCCGTCCAACCTGGCCTTGGACACTTCCAGGGATGGGGCAGCCACAGCTTCTCTGGGCACCCTGTGCCAGGGCCTCACCTCCCTCACAGGGAAGAATTTCTTCCCAGTATCCCATCTAACCTTCCCTCTTGCAGTTTGAACCCATCCCCCTTGTCCTGTCACTGCAGTTTGACCAAATGCTGGATATTCTTTAGGTAGTTTTGATGGAAACCAGGAATACCCAAGGATATTTTTTCCTACAGTGTTTTAAAACAAAGTGAGAAGTTAAAAAAAAAGGCAAGTGTGCTTTATTTAATGTGGGACCAATTCCCACTGGGCTGGTGAAATGCTGCTGTGTTTCACTTCTGCCATTCCCAGGAGAGGGAGGAAGGAATGAATGAAAGAATCATTCAGGCTGAGCTTCCCACCTGTCCTGAAAGATGATTTCCAGGAGTTTGTGCCAGTACTGAACACTCTTGGACAAGAGTGGAATCAACTGTTGGACAAATAAAAGATGCATCATTCCAAGGCCAAACGTGCAGCACCTCTCCTGAGCCCTGAACTGTTCTTTTTGCTTCCTGCAGATTGATTTAGAAACAGAAAGTAGCTGGTGTCAACAGATCCCTACAGATGTCTTTAATCAGGTTCCAAATGTGTAACAATGGGACAAAGAAACGTAATGAAATCATGTGGTTTATTTTAACACTCTTTTGGGGTCAGGAGCCAAATTGTTTCTGCTGCATTTGGTTCTTGAAGTTGTTAGAGGTTCTTGCCATGAGTTTTTCCAGGGTTATGAGCCATGCAAGGAAAGAAAGTAGGGTTTGACCCAGTGTTTAAGTGATTTGCAATGTGAGAAATACTCAAAATGTCTCTAAAATATCATTGGCTAAACTAATGTCCTTATTTTTCTTTTATTTCCTATTACTTTGTTGCAGTTGTATTCATCTTTAGTGCATTGCAGTGCAGCTCCTCCTGCTGCTGGTGCCTCTTCTCCATGCAGAGCAATCAAGTCACCCCTCCTCCCTCCTTTCCTTCCCCCAGCCCTTATCAGGGAAAGATCTAAGTAGGTGAGAAAGGAGGAGTTTATAGAGATTCTTTAAAATGCCATCTACCTTAATGGGAAAAAAAAAATTTGTAAACCCAAGAATGAAACGTGCTGACCTGTAATTGCAGAGAGCAGAGCTCTGTGTGTTTGTTTCCAAGGCTTTTAAAATCCAAGGTGTTGATTCTCCATCATCAAACCCTCGTGTTGCTCATGGTCTGTCACACCAACCACAGCAATTTGTGCTCAGGGCCTGCAGCCTCTGAGGCAGCTCCAGCCCTGTGATCTCAGCCAGCTTTGTTTTCCCCCTTGTTTACAGGTTCTGACTCATGGTTGTGTCCTCCTTTAATCCCAGCCCTGTCATTCCTCCTGGGAGCCTGTTCTTGGAGGAGGTTGTGGCAAAACTGCTTGTGTACCTGTGGAGAAGAGAGGGGGAAACTTCTGTTCTTAGTCATGTGCCAGTGTTTGGTGGCTCATTCTGCTCTCTGGGGTGTGGGGGCTGCAGGGCTGGACCTGCACCCGCTCCAGCTGCCTTTGGATCGTGGGAGAGCCAGTTTTAATCCTTTTTTTTTTTTCATGGAAGGGCTCAAAAATACGAGTCAGTAATAGAAACCTTTAATGTGAGGGTGAACTCTGAAGTGTGGTGGGTGGAGAAGCCCCTCTCTGAGGAGAAATGTATCATTCAAGTGGTTTGGGGTTAAATAAACACCGTTTCTTTCTAACTTTGAGAGCAGCCCAAGGTACAGGGAATTAGGGCTTGGATTTGCAAGGGAATTATCCGTGGATACCTAAAGAGAACCAGGTGGGGAGTATCACATGCAGCATCAAAGATGCTTTTGTGCTGAGAATTACTGACTTAAGGTGTAACAAAGCTGCTCTGTCAACTGACCCACCGTGTCCAGGGTCTCTTTCCCTTTCCAAGCAGGAAATCTCCCGGCCCACACAGGAAAAGCAAAAGCAGTTGACAAAAGGCTGGTGATTTATCTCCTGACAGCCTCCTGCATTGTCAAACACGGTTCCCTAATGCTCTGGCTCTGGTGTGGGATTGATTTCCTGGTAGCCTGTTACCCAGCTGGAACCAGCACCACTGCTTCTTCTTCCTTGGAAACTGGGGATAAATTCGGTGTTTTTTGAAAACCCTGTGTCCTGAGAGCTTGCAGGGCTGGTGAGCAACTGGCTGTTTGATTATTCTCTAGCAAACTGGGTGTATAAGGCCCATTTTTTGTTCCTCAGAACACGCTGGTGAGACTCAAGGGTTAAATTCCCCACACTGTCGCATATGGCAGTGAGCAGAATCACAGATGTTGATGATACAACATAATTAGTATTCTTTTATGTAAATGAAGGCTGTCAATGTTACCATAGTGTCTATACTCTCTCAAGCTGGAATCTCTGCCACTTGGTCTCACCAAGGCTAGACAGGATTATTCCAACAATTTTTTTATCCAGAGCTGAGGAGAGAAATAAAGAAAGAGAGGGGGGGAAAGAGTCAGGGAGGAAGGTGGGGAGGGAGGAAGGAAGGTGGGAAGGGATGTTTCCAACTTGGAAGGAGGAGACCAAACCGATCCTTTGTTTAGCTTAGGATTTCCAAAAGTGCCTTTCCAGGTCCTGGGGTCTGGGAGGGAATGAGCCCAGCCCAGAGGAGGGGTGGGGAGGTTTCTGAGCTGGTTTAATAAACAGCTCCAATGGTTCTTTAGGCACCGTGGGTCCCCCCAGGAGGTGGGGGCTGAAGTGGCCACTTGAGCTTTAATCTGGAGTGGAGGAAAGAACTGAAGAGCTTTGATTTTTTTTTCCTTGAGAGATTCCATCTTTAACAGCAATATCACTGAAAAAGGCAGTGATTAAAGCAAACTTGCATGATTTAGGACCACTAAAAATCTATTTTCTTAGCCTGGGCCAGGTCTCTGCCCACCCATCCAGGTGAGAGCTCAGTACCTGTGCCAAAGCTTTGGCAGCATTGTGCTGGGGCCTTTGTCGTGTTAAACTTTGCCCCTTATGAAATGATTTTTTAACCAAATATTCTGTGTGCCAGGTCCCACACTCTCTGTGCCATCTGTAACCACTTTGTGCCTGGGATTGCTGTCCCCTGTCACTACTTTCTGTGTGCTCAATACCATAGTCGTAGCTGTGGAAGCAACTTAATTCAGTCTCTCCTGGATTATTCCAACAGATCTGTTTTTACAACCTCTTCTACCTTTTGGCAGGTTTTTACCCATTTTTCTCTCCTCTGTAGTTCTTATTTTGCTGCAGTTCACACTTGACAACTCTCCATTACTTCCTTTTTATTGTTTGAAGAATCACCTAGAAATGAAATGTATTCAGCACAGCTCTTTTTTTTTTTTTTTTAATCTTTCCCCCCTCTCCTCCCCCCTCGTTCACCGAGTGATCGAAGCCGCCAAAATCCAAGTGATCACAGGAGGGGCACGTTTTTCCTCACTTTTTTTAAACTCCCATTTTTCCTCTGCCATATGTTGGGTCATCCACTACAAAAGCCTCACGATGGAGAGGCTCCATGTGATCAGCAGATCTACAGCTCGCCCAAAAATGAAAGCAGAAAATGAAATTCCAGAGTGCCTCTTGCGTGTGACGTGCCTGAACATCTGAGAATTTGGGTTCCTGGCTGTGAGCAGGCTTTGGCTCCCAGATAATTCTGGTGTCTGTAATAAAAGTGTGCTGAGGGGGTTAATGGTGCTCCAAAGCAGCCCTGCCTGGGTTTGTTCCCGTGCATCACCAGGATATTCTCTCTCCAGGGCTTTGAAGATGGGCTGCCTTGCAGTGAAGACTTAACTGGTAATTAAATTCTCCCAGAAGCGCCAGGACTGCCGTGGACCATGGGGCTGCCCCGTGCCCGGGATGCTGCGTGGCGGAGGAAAGGATGTGTGACCAGGACTGCGTGAGTGGGGGGGTGGGGCTGAGCTCCTGCCCTGGCATCAGAGCCCTGGAGGGACTGCCCAGCACTGGCACACCAGGGTTCAGCTGGGCCTTTGGCAGGGCTGAGTGTCTTTTGCCAAAATGGGGACACTCTTTGCACTCCTCGGATCCCTGCCTGGGTTTCCCCGCAGTTCCGGTGGTCGCTGAGTAAATCTGCTGCTTTCTCTGTTTGTGTCTCTCTCTTGGACACACACAGATTTTCCTTTAGGTTTCCCCTACACGTTGAATTTTTTTTTCCCATGCTGATTTTTTTTCCAGCACCGGAATGTTTGGGAGGCTGTGGGAAATCAGGGAATTCGGGGGCAGAATGAAAAAGCCTGAGGACAAACGCTCTGGTTACCACCATTAGCTGATATTTCAGTGGCTTCTGCCTGAAGTCGGTAACCTCAGCCTGGTTGCTGATGACATGCATTCCAATTCCAAATTCCTTTTGAGTGTATCAATTTCAAGGGGGCAGCAAAAGATCAAACGTGTGTGTGTGGACTGAATGAATCCTTCTCTCCGTGGATTGGGTCAGACGTGCTGGCAGCTGCCTGGGCCGGCCTTAGGAGACAGATAGAGCTTTATTCTCTAGACCTGGTCCATCCAATATCTTTCACTGGTGCTAAAAACTGCTTTAAAAAAAAACTGTGCACGGAAATAATGTCGTTGGCTGAGGGGTTGACAAGACACGACATCGGTGTTTTCATAGGTCTGGTACAGAAGGAGGGCAGTGGGCACGGCCCCAAGGCTGCTCAAGGAGAGTTTGGACAATGCTCTCAGGCACAGGGTGGGATTTGGGGGCATCCTGTGCGGGGCCAGGAGTTGGGCTTTGATCCTTGTGGGTCCCTCCCACGATGAAAGGAAATCTTACACGCGTGTCGTGGCTCTAAAATCCTTCTCCTTTCCGTTTTTTTTTTTTTCTTGCCTCCCCAGGTCAGAGCGGCGACGACTCCTGTGAGACATGGATAGATGCAAACATGTCGGGCGGCTACGACTCGCCCAGGACCACTCGATCCTGAACCCCCAGAAGTGGCAGTGCGTGGACTGCCAGACCACGGAGTCGCTCTGGGCCTGCCTCAAGTGCTCGCACGTGGCGTGCGGGCGGTACCTGGAGGAGCACGCGCTGCGCCACTTCCAGGAGACGCGGCACCCGCTGGCCATGGAGGTGCATGACCTGTACGTGTTCTGTTACCTGTGCCAGGACTACGTGCTCAACGACAACCCCGAGGGGGACCTGAAGCTGCTGCGGAGCTCGCTGTCGGCCATCCAGGGCCAGCGGCGGGAGCCCCTGGCGCGCAGCGGGAGGACCCTGCGCTCCATGGCGCTGGGCGAGGGCGCGCGCGGCCGCCGCGGGAGCCCCCCGGGGCAGTCCCAGATGCTCACGGCGCTCTGGCACCGGCGCCAGGCCCTGCTGGCGAGGGCGCTGCGGACCTGGTTCCACAAGAGCTCTCGGGGGCAGCTGAAATTGCAGCAGGAGAGGCAAATGGAGGAGCTGGAGAAGAAGAAGGAGGCGGCTCGGCGGCGGCGGCAGGAGATGAAGAGGCAGCTCCTGGAGGAGCTGGCGAACACCCCCCCCAGGAAGAGCGCGAGGCTGTTGTCTCACGTGCACGGGGAGAACTTGATTCCAAGGAAATTCAGGGAGGTGGCCTCCTCCCCTACCTCAAGGCAGGTGCAGAGCAGCAGGTTCAGACAGTTCTACTCCATCCGGCGCCAGCCCCTCATGACCCCCGGGGTCACGGGGCTGAGGAACCTGGGGAACACGTGTTACATGAACTCCATCCTGCAAGTGCTGAGTCACCTCCAGAAGTTCAGAGAATGTTTTTTGACACTTGATCTCTGCGAAACAGAAGAACTCTTGGCTAAAACTGTGAACGGGAGGGCCAGGATCCCTGGCAAACTGGCAAATGGGTCTGCTGCTAATGAGTCAGGGAAGACTGACAAAGTGGGATCATCTGGCACGCAGAGCTCGCCAGCTGGCTTGAATGGGAGCTCCTCCATAAGCCGGAGCTTAGAACTGATCCAGCCCAAGGAGCCGAGCTCAAAGCACATCTCCCTCTGCCACGAACTGCACACCCTCTTCAGAGTGATGTGGTCTGGCAAGTGGGCCCTCGTGTCCCCCTTTGCCATGCTGCACTCCGTGTGGAGCCTGATCCCGGCCTTCCGGGGCTACGATCAGCAGGACGCTCAGGAATTCCTCTGCGAGCTGTTGGATAAAGTCCAGCAGGAGCTGGAGTCGGAAGGAACGAAGCGCAGGATCCTCATCCCCTTCTCGCAGAGGAAGCTCACCAAGCAGGTCCTCAAGGTGGTCAACACCATCTTCCATGGGCAGTTGCTCAGCCAGGTACGGACCTGCTGTGGCACAGGGATCAGTTGGAGCCGTTCACACTGAGGAGCAAAGGCTCTGCGTGTTGAGGACCCCCAGATATGTGAGGAGTGGCTCAGGAGCAACTCCTGGGGAAGAAATCCCTTGGGTTGCTGTGCAGGTGTCAGCATTTCCATATTTGTCACATGCATTATAAATTCACTTGGCTTCTGTCACTTCAGGGTGAAATCTGCACAAGTACAGAAGTTCTGACCCCTTAGATTGAAGTTTTGAGTGTGATTTTTAAAGTGTTTTTCCTTTGGTTTGTCCCTTTTTGGTGGTGTTTCCATGCCTAGGAAGAATACGATGAGGGTCACAAGCTCTGTGACAATTTTTTTGCCAGCATATGAAAGTCATCTTGGGACACCAAATGTGCCAGCTGTGAGTTGGTGTTTCACCTGTAAAGGTGTTTATCTGAGGAAGGAAGTAAATCCCAGAAAGGTGAAGAGAGAAAGAAGTTTTAAATGATTTGCTTTCAGACTGGACATGAGAAGTGTTTCTCTTGTCTCACAGGTCTTTGTGGAACTGCTCTGCCTTTTGGGCACGAAGCTGCCCCGTGGCTGTGACACCCAGTGTGCAGGTACAGAGCAGTGTTTGTGTGTTTGTCCCATCCCCAGGTCACCTGCATCACGTGCAACTACAAATCCAACACCGTGGAGCCCTTCTGGGACCTTTCCTTGGAGTTCCCCGAGCGCTACCACTCCCTGGAGAAGGGCATTGTGCCCGTGCAGCAGGCAGAGTGCCTGCTCACCGAGATGCTGGCCAAGTTCACCGAGACCGAGGCGCTGGAGGGGAGGATCTACGCCTGCGACCAGTGCAACAGTGAGTGGGCTCTGAGGCACCAGCTCTGCGTCTGAGGGGGGGTTTGTGTGCCTGGAAACGTGTCTGGGTGGGAAAACTCTGTCCTTCCGTGCTGCTTTGGTTCCTGCCATTGGTAGATGCTGCTCCTTTGGGCTCCAGCTGGGACCTGACATGTCATTTTTGCATCTGATGTGTCATTTTTTCTCTCATCTCTGCCATTCAGCAGCACAATTCACTACAGGTTTGATACAAGCCTGGTCAGAACTGCCCTCGCTTGTGTTAGAGGGGACTTCCAAGAATTTTTTGGGAGAGAGGGGGTTGGATTTAGAGGCAAAAGAAGGGCTTTGTCCCCCGTGCTTTACTCATCTCTGCGTGGCAGGAAAGCTCTTCTAACACATCCTCTCTATGCTGCTTGTTCTTGATTGAATCCTTGACCCAGAAATCAGAGTTCTCAAGGTTTGTAGCTGTGCTAGGTGAGAGTTTCATCCCTGTGTGGGCATTTGTTGGGAAGCACTGACCTGGCATTATCCAGGGAGGCTCAGGTAATGTGTTATTACCTGTGAGGTGATGCACAGATTTTGCTGTGCTCAGCTAGTAGATGACTTTGCTTTCCTGCAGCAGCTCTGAGTGAAAGGTCATTATATCCCTGAAAATCACTTTAGCCTGTGTATTACCATTCAGCTCAGCTACTCTGATAAGCTGGATTTGGATTCTTTTTCATGCAGGTATTTATGGCAAACGTTCATTCCCTTGGGAGGAAAATGCCAGCGATTTGACTTGCATTGCAACTAAGCAGCTGGAGTAGCAAATACTTGTAGAGATCTGTTCTCTATCAACTGGCAAATCTGTTACCAAACATCTTCTCAGAGTGTTAGGAAATAATCCTTGACTGGATGTTCTTGGAAAAAAGCCAAATATGATTTGAATGGATTCTGATTCACAAATAACGTTCACAAATTGTCGATGCGGATGAGTTCAGCTTCATCTTAACTCAGTTTGCTTTGATTCTTTGTGAAAGCTGAATTTTAATGGTTACTTCAGAATTAAATGGCTCGGGAAGCATTAACCAGCTGGAAAGAGCCAGGGAAAGGCACCAGCCTGAGTCCAGGTGCCAGGAATGATCTGGGCAGTGCGTGTCAGACGTGCCGGAGGAGGAGGCACCCATCTGCTCTGAGCTGGTGCACTGAGGTGCAGAAATCTAATTAACAGGTACATTTCCTATTGGAAGCTCTGACAGCCACCTGTCTTCCTCCTGGGACAGTCATATGTTCAGTGTCCTGCAAAGAGCAAGCCCTGGGAAGAGGAACCGTTCTCCCTCTTCTCCAGCTTTGGTTCAGGGGCTGTTTGCTGTTGGTGGGACTTTGATGGAAGCATTTTCTGCCTTGTATTAATACCCTTGAGCTAGTGCAGGCTGCTACAAGCCTCATTCTAGTGCTGTAAGGAGCTCAAAGTAGCAGACAGAATAAAATATCAGGTACTGCTATTTGTGTGCTGGAGTTGCCCTGTGGGAACTGGAACTGCTGCAGCCTCAGATGTCTCTGGCCTTGGCTCTATCTTAATATTCCTGCTGTATTTCTCAGGGCAAAACATCAGCACGAGCAGCTTGAAGGTGACAACTGATTGTGTGATTATGAGCATCACAAAAGGGGGAGTTTTGGTCCTAGAGAAGTTCCTGTGAAGGAATTCATGAGTATTTACCTGCGTGTCCCTCCCCAGCACACCTGAGCTCGACTGCTGCTGGAGTAAAGAGGCCATCACGTGCTGTTCTTCTCTTCTGGGAATTAATCAAATCCTAACAGTCTTTCCCTTGATTTTTTGGTGGTTTTTTTTTTTTTTTTTTGTCAGGCAAACGGCGAAAGTCTTCTCCTAAACCTCTTGTTCTGAGTGAAGCTAAAAAGCAGTTGCTGATCTACAGACTACCTCAGGTCCTCCGGCTGCACCTTAAACGCTTCAGGTGAGGGGACACGCCCTGGGGTCAGCAGAGACACTGCCCTCTGCTTTTTGGGAAGAACTGTGGGCCCATAACTTCTCCCATGTCCTGCTGAGTGCAGGTGGATCACCTCTTACCCATCAGACGTGTGAAACCCTCTCACCTTGCAACCAGGGGCAGTTTTGTGGCGTGCAGATTTGTTTCTGGCATCTTTTCTGCCACGGCACCCCGTGTAATGTTTTGTAAATATTAGTCCTGATTTCCTTGAATTGTCCTCGAGGGCCTTTGCTGGGTTTGCAGACAGCTTGGGAGGATGGCTGGGAGATGATCAGTGGATGAGCTGAGAGATTTGTTAAAGGTGGGAGGTTGTGAGAGTTAAATGCCAGTATTGTGTATTTACCTGTTGAATAAATGGCAGACAAAGCTCAAAATATTATGAAAAGCTTCTAAAATGGTTAGACCAGGTGTGTGGGGGGGGTTTATTGACAGAGCTGAGGATTTTAAAGGCTGTTTGGCTGTTGTGATCTCAACAGTACCCCCGCTAATGCCATCAGTGACGGAAGGAGCTGTGTGTGAAAGGTGGCTGTAGGAGATTTTCAAGTGAAAACAAGGGAAACAGTTAGTGATGCTTCACTGGGGGGTTGTGGAGCAGTGTCTGCCTGTGCACCCCCCCAGCCCCGAGCAGACCCCGAGTCTCTGATCCCTTGTGTTTGCAGGTGGTCTGAGCGCAATCACCGCGAGAAGATCGGGGTCCATGTCCTCTTTGACCAGGTATTAAACATGGAACCTTACTGCTGCAGGGACTCCCTCTCCTCCCTTGGCAAGGAGACCCTTGTGTATGACCTCTCGGCTGTGGTGATGCATCACGGGAAGGGGTTTGGCTCAGGACACTACACAGCTTATTGCTACAACACGGAGGGAGGTGCGTGTGCCTGGGGACGGGGGACCCCACCCCACAAACTCCCCTTTGATCCCACAGGCGGGGCCTGGCGTGAAGCTTTGTGCTTCCAGAGCTCCTCGGGGCCGAGCTCAGCAGTTTGTTTGCCCCCGGGTTGTGGTTCCTCGTGGCACAGGGGTTGGGTTGTGGTTCCTTGTGGCACAAGGTTTGGGTTGTGGTTCCTCGTGGCACAGGGGTTGGGTTGTGACTCCTCGTGGCACAGGGGTTGGGTTGTGGTTCCTCGTGGCACAGGGGTTGGGTTGTGACTCCTCGTGGCACAGGGGTTGGGTTGTGGTTCCTCGTGGCACAGGGGTTGGGTTGTGGTTCCTCGTGGCACAGGGGTTGGGTTGTGACTCCCCGTGGCACAGGGGTTGGGTTGTGGTTCCTGGTCGCACAAAGCCCCCGCTGCGGCTCCGCGGCCCTCGGGGATCCTTTTCCTGCCCCCTGGGAGCACCATGAATGCTCCATTTTCTCAGGCAGAGTCACTCCGTGGAGCTGCTCCAGCTGGGTGTCTTTGCTCAGTATCCTTGGGACGAGGAGATAAACAGAAAGTGTTTTGAGCCTGGACAGGAACTATTCATGAATAACATCCGCAGGGGGTGGTGAGGCTCCAGCAGCTGAATTAGCATCCACTCTGCCTGCTGGCTGGAGGAAGGGGGACAAATTGGCCATCTCCAGGGGATTCTTGTCTGCCTAATTGAGCTTTTGGGATGTTATATATCACTGATGAAATTAATATTTGGTATTTGTAAAGCACAAAAAAAAAAAAAAAGGGAAAAAAAAAAAGGCTCAGAATGTTTTCCAGATTAGAAACTCCAAAGCATCTGTGGAGGAATGGACAGAGATGCCTTTTTTCCTGCATTGTGGATGTTTCCTATGAACAGTTTCAAAATGCATTCAGGAGGAATCCTGCCTCCCTTCCTAATGCCCTCTTTCTCCCTTTGCTCCCCAGGGTTTTGGGTCCACTGCAATGACTCCAAGCTGAATGTATGTAGTGTGGAGGAGGTGTGCAAGACCCAGGCCTACATTCTCTTTTACACTCAAAGAACGGTGCAGGACGAAGCAGGAATCTCAGAAAAACAACTCCAAGCTCAGGTGCCACCCAAAACCAGTGACAAGGACAGAAGACTGACATTCCCATGACGGGGAGCCCTGTCACTCCATCAGCACGCTCAGCTCTTTCTGGAACCATTGGTGTTCACAAATTCCCTCCCGTGGGGAAGAACACTGGCTGCAGGAGGGGGATCAGAGCAGGATCGTTGCCACCCCGGGTCTGGGAAAGCCCACTGAGCTGGGGAGTTCTGACACGTCAGGTCGTTGTCAGAACCTTGGTTTTAAAGAGTCTCGTTGCTGAATTAGGCTCACAGAAAGGAAATTGGGAAGTTTGATGCTGAATTTCATCTCATCTCAGAGGAGCTGCGTGAGGTCTGTGACAAGTGAGCACAGCCAGGAAAGAGGAGCATCCAGCTGGCTTCAGAGCCCTTCAGTCCCCACCAATCCTGGGCAAACTGCAGCAGGAGCAGGTACAGTCCCTTCCCCTCCAGTGGCCATTCCCACTGCCAGGGGAATCACAGGCACTGCCTGCAAGGGATTGGCTGCCCCGAGAGCTGTTCTTGCTGCAGAAATGTGTAAGTTCTTCATTCTTCCCCCAGGGCTCAGCTGCCCCTGTGACACCGATTTCTCTGCCATCAGCTGGGGGCAGAGCCCTGGCTGAAGCTTTGCCAGCAGCTCTGTGTGTCAGTGCCACTGGGGCTGTGTCACACTTCATGGTTTATTCTCTGGGCTGAACTCAACTGGCAGCTAAATTCACTCAGAATGTGATTTTAATACAGTTCTTCTCTGGAGAAAGTGTGTTCAAACACAAAAAAAAAAACCTGTAATAAACCAGGAACGTACCTGTGTGCCAGATCTGGCAGCAAAACCAAAACCTGTGCTCCAGGTTTCTGCTGGAGGGGCATCACTGTCCCCAGGATTAGAAAGTCTGTGGCTTGCACAGCTGTGGCAGCAGAAGTTGGTGGTGTGGAGGCATCTCACAGTGGCAAATCACTCTTTATTACAAATGTGGCTCGTTTTCCTCAGGGGAGCAGTGGTGGGAGTGCCACAGTGTGGGGCAGAGCTGGATTCTGTCACTGCCTCTGGAGGGGGAACAGTCAGTAGTTGTGGTTGTCACACGAGCCCAGAGCAGGGGAAGGTGGCCCTGGATCCAGGCAGTGCCCAGAATTCCCCCTGTGAGGTTTTTGTTCCTGCTGGGCCATCAAGGGAAGGAATGTAGTTAAATCTCAAAATTCCACGTTGAGTTGGAAAGGCTGCAAAAATGTCTGTATCTGAAATCATCCTGATTTTAGAATCCTGTGAGAAACACAGAGCCTTAGTGGACTATTTGTAGTCACTTCTCAGCCTACAGTTGCACCTCAGGTGTGTTTTTGTAATTTGGGGTTTGGCTGTTCACGTTTCATGTTTTAACCTGAATATGGAACTGCAAAAAAAAAAAAAACAAACCCAAACAAAAACCCAACACGTGATGTCTTTCAATCTTGGTTATTTTTTTAATTGTTAAAAGGTGAAATAATCTAAAATACGAGGTTCTTCAAAAAAATGGTTCCATTTTCAGGTAGGGAAGTTCCCAAAGTGTGTTTCTCCTCCTTTCATCCTTGTCAGTGTTTGCCCCTCAGACACACACGCTGTCGTGGGAGGGGTGAAAAGGGAACCCTCCCAAATCCCACTCCTCTTCCCACTGCCACTCCTGGGACTTTTACCCCCCTGTCCTTGGGCAAGTTGAGCACAGCAAGAAGAAATTTGGGTTGTGCCAGAGCTCAGCATCACACGAGGGCTCTTCTGCCCTTCGAGTTTCCCATTTCCTGTGCTCTTGACCAACATGCTGCTTTTTTGAGCCTAAAAGAATGTCTTTTTGACAGTTCAGTGTCGTTCTGAGACCAGATACTCTTTATTTTTTGGAGACAGTCCTGATGAAAAAGGTATAGTTTTGGTTCTCTAAATGTTGCAAGGGCTGGAAGGATTCATGAATGTCTTTGTGTTTACTGGGTGGGGGACTTTTGGTGCTGCCAGTAAATGAAATCAGTAATGATGCAAAAAATGTAAAATAGGCCAAACTGAGATCCAATAGCAACAAATGGGACTGCAGGGGAAGCTGAGTTGGGCTCAGCCAGGGAGAAGTTGACATTCCTGAAGGAATCAGAAGTGCTTGTGATTGTCAGACACGTGATGGATTCGTTCTGGAGCAGAATATGTTCTGTGAGGCAGAGAAAATTCAAATTAAAGGCAAAATAGTGCTTAGAAACACCTCATCTGAGGTGTTTTCCCCATACTTGTGTCCTTCCAGGCCTGCCTGCCTGCCCTTTAAGGGGATTATTTGTGGTTTGCTCTGCTCCCAACTGGCCCTTGGGTTCCCTCCCTGCATCCCAAAGCCATGCTGGCCCCTTTTTTGGATAAAAATCCCATAGAAAGGCAAACCCACTGCAGCTTGAGTTGTTCCTGCAGCGAGCCCAGGCTCTGTGCCATCAGTGCTCATCTTTTGACTGAGTGTTTGGCATTAATCTTGGAATTCAGCTGGAATTGCAGCTGTCAGGGGGGGTCACAGGGAGCTGGGAGTGTTCCCGCAGCCAGGGTTTGTAGGATTCGAGGTGACATCTCTAGTCATGAGTCTCCAAGGGGCATCAGCTGAGCTGGGGAGATCCTGCAGCCAGGAAAACGATAGCCCTGATAGGGAAGGAATGAAGTAAACTCAGATAAACCTGCCTTTTCCAACACTGTGAGGTTTCTGGAGTATTTAGCTTTTCTTTGGAAGCGACAGCGTATGGCACTTTTGATGCTGGTTGGTTTATAGTTGGCTCCTGCAGGCTTGAGACAGGCAGAGCCCAAGGCTCCCTCCATGTGGGCACTGTTTTAGAGTGTCCTGTTTGCCAGGAAGTCTCATGGAAGTCACCCCCTCCATCAGGAAGGTGAAAATACTGCTTGGAATTCCAGGGAAGCCACTGAGGTGTGTCTGACAAGGGGCGGCCTCCAAAGCAGATCTGCCCCTGCTTAACCATGTGGCTTCCAATTCTGCCCCTGCCCTGATGCAGATTTAGAATTAATTCCAGTTTTAGGCTCTGTTAGAATTAATTATTAGAATTAATACCAGTTTTACAGGTAGATGAGGTGACTCAGCTCCTGTGAGGAGTTCAGCAGTCACAGCTGGGAGTGCAAACCAAGTGTCTGCAGCACAACCCCCTTTGTTTTGGTCCAACTGGGAGTAAGCCTGTTGTTCCATGTGCTGGGAGTCCTGTCCTGGGGACCCACTCTGGCAGCAGGAGCCGTTTGCCTTGAGAGATGCTCGGAGCAAGTGGGAGGTTCGTGGCACCTCCCAGGTTGTTGTGTGAGGAGCAGGAAGTCAGGCTTGGGATGTGCAGCCGTTGGGAGGGAACTGTTCCCAGCATATCCTTATCCCATCCAACCTGTGACTAAATGGGATTTCCTTAATTCTTAAGAGAGAAGAATCTTCATGTATCCATGGCCAGGTGTCATCCAGCATCTGCTGTAGCAGTTGGAAGCCACTTTACTGTAGGTAACTTTTTTCCACTAGCAAGTTGGTTACATAAATTTGCCTTTATTATCCCTTTTCCTGCCTGTATTCCCAAGTTAAACTATGCATTCCACAAAAAAAAAACAGTTTCTCTGCAAAGCACTGAAAAAACCTTCCAATTTTTTACCCCCAAATAAGTCTCTGGTTCAGGTTCCTGGCAGGGGGCTGTTGGCACAGGCTGGACAGGAGAGGAGTTTTCCCTCGGTATGGAATCCCCTGGCAGCCCTCGTGAAAACAAGAGGGAAGTGCTTGTTTGGGTGAGGAGCCAAGCTGGAGCTTGGGTGGATTCCCTGGATTTTTCAGTGGATTTAAGTCAGAACAGCCTCGTGTTTCTGCTCCAGCTCCATTCCTGACATCACTAATGAGTTGAGCTGACTTGTGCCAGGCTGGGAGTGTCCTCCTCAAGGACACTGCCAGGCAGCAGCAAGTGAGAGAGAATCCAGTTAATCAATTAATTAATTAAGGGCTAAAAGGATGGTGAAGGCTCTAGAGAGGCAGCCATGGGAGGGGTGGCTGAGGGCACTGACTGGGCTTGTTCAGCCTCGAGACTGAGGGGAGACCTCAGGGGGCTGCAGGTTCCTCACGAGTCCAGCTCTGATCTCTGCTCCTGGGAGCAGGGACAGGCCCCAGGGAAGGGCTGGAGCTGTGCCAGGGCAGGCTCAGGTTGGATCTCAGGAAAAGGTTCTTCCCCCAGAGGGTGGTTGGCACTGCCCAGGCTCCCCAGGGCAGTGGGCACAGCCCCAAGGCTGCCAGAGCTCCAGGAGGGTTTGGACAACGCCCTGAGGGACAGGGTGGGATTGTTGGGGTGTCTGTGCAGGGTCAGGGGTTGGACTGGATGGTCCTTGTGAGTCCCTTCCAGCTCAGGATATTCCATGGTTCCTGACTGTTCCTGGCAGTCTGTCCAGCTGCCTCCTGATCCCCATCAGCTTTTCTTCCAGTCAGGTTTGTTCCCAACATCCCCCGGTCACCCCTGGCAGCCTCCATGGGCACGGCCTGGCCCCTGCCTGACCCCAGGCTGGGGGGTATTAGTGTGAGTAAATCAAAACTGAGATTAACTATAAAGGGACTGAAATGTTCTAATTAATCCCCTTTTCCTGCAGAAACTGTTTCTGCATAACTTGGATTATCCCGACTTCAGAAGAATTTAGTTTCTTTACAGGATGTCCAAACACCAGCTTTGAAAACAGCATTTTTAAGGATTTTTATGGGGAGTGGAGTGAGGGGTTTTTTTTGGGGGGGGGGGGGGGGGCAGGTGAGGGGCAGTTCTGTCCTCCAGACGTGGGAACAGCTGCTCCAGGAGAATGTCCTGAACTAAAACCCTGTGAAACTGTCCAAAGAATGTGAAGCCATGCTGCACCCCACTGCCACGGCTCTCAGGGCTGGGAGCTCCTCCTGCTCCTCCACAGCACCTTCCAGGAGCTGGTGTGTAACCCGTGAGTAAATCCCAGGAGCTGGTGTGTCCCCTGTGAGTAAATCCCAGGAGCTGGTGTGTCCCCTGTGAGTAAATCCCAGCTCCCAGTGGTGCTTCCCTCGTCCCCCGGCCGCTGGACTGTTCCAGCCTCAGCCCTGGGCACCCCATGCTATGCAACACCAAATGGCTTCTCCTCCCACACACAGCCATCATTCCTCTCCATACCCCAGCTTTATTCCACAGGGACATTCCCCAGGAACCCAGGTGGTTGGAGTTCCCCTCGGGCTCGTCCCAGTTTGGATTTTCCTTTGCAGGATCAGTGGATGGGTCTCGGGTGCAGCCCCAGGGCTGGGCTTGGCCCTTTTGTCTCTCGGGTGTGAAATATAAATCATGTTTTTATGATTTTTTTGTAAATCTTTACTCTTTTTACACCTTGTTTTTGTAAGCTGAAGTTTCTTATTAAAAGAAAAAAAAAGAAGAAGAAATTCCAGAGGGCCATGTCGTTATTCCACAGACTTTAATAAACATCTGGGAGCGGTACAGAAGGAAATTCCACAACCATCCTTGAGAAAACCATTCTTGTTGTGCCTTGAGGAATGAACTGGAAATAAATTCTTCCTCTCAGCCTTAAATCTTTCCCTCTTGTCACTGCCTGGAGCAGGACAGGAGGGACTGGGAGCAGCAGCTCTGCAGGGGAGGAGAACGACGTCCTTCCAGGAATGCAGCGAACCCGTCGCGGCCCAACACGGCTCCGGTCCTGCTGGGAGGGCGAGCTCTGCTCCCTGCAGCTCCAGGAATTCCTGGGACAGGGATTCAGCAGTGTTAGTGGAGGTGGGTTCTGGCATGTGGCAGCTTAGTAACAGCTTTACAACCCTGTGTGAAGGCTGGGTCGTGTGGGCTTTGGTGCTCCTGGGGCCTGGGGCGGGCTCAGGGGTTGGTCCCGCTGGTCACTCCTCATCTGTGTCACCTCACACGGGGACAGCCCCGGCCTGGGGGGTGTCAGGACACATCTGGGGGGTTTGTTCAGCCTCGAGATTGAGGGGAGACCTCAGGGGGCTGCAGGTTCCTCACGAGTCCAGCTCTGATCTCTGCTCCTGGGAGCAGGGACAGGCCCCAGGGAAGGGCTGGAGCTGTGCCAGGGCAGGCTCAGGTTGGATCTCAGGAAAAGGTTCTTCCCCCAGAGGGTGGTTGGGCACTGCCCAGGCTCCCCAGGGCAGTGGGCACAGCCCCAAGGCTGCCAGAGCTGCAGGAGGGTTTGGAAAACGCCCTGAGGGATAAGGTGGGATTGTTGGGGTGTCCTGTGAGGGCCAGGAGTTGGACTGGATGATCCCTGTAGGTCCTTCCAACCTGGGGCATTCCATGATTCCAAGCACAGCTGTTCCCACCTTCCCAGATCCCGCCCAGTCCCCCTGACCCCTGCACTCACCGGCTCTACGGGACGGGCTGCGGGGCCATCAGGTCGATGTCCGTCAGGTTCCGGGCGACCCAGACCCCGGCAGCAAACAGCCCCAGGTTCACCAGCAGGTTCCTGCAAGCCCAGAGTCATTTCAGTTGGAAAATCCCTCCGGGACCATCGACTGCAGCCTGTGCCCGATCCCCACCTTGTCCCCCAGCCCAGAGCACTGAGTGCCACGTCCAGTCCTCCCCTGGACTCCAGCTTTTATATTGTTTTATGTTATCGAAAAAGCAAGTTTACATAGCTTCTAGTGCAGAAACATCTGGTTTCCTTCTCCTCTTGGGTTCCACCCAAAGCCTAGCCAGGGCTCAAGGGGGAAAACCAAGGGAGTCAACCTTGACCATTCATCTCCTGCCAAACAAGGCCAGGCATCTGATTCCATGGCCTTGACCGGCCTCTAAATATGGAAAGATAAATAAATTCTTTCACTAATGATCAGTTCCTTAATGAGCAGATATGCAGACAAAAGTAACGTTTGTTGGAAGGTTCATCAAGAGGTCAGCTTTGGCTCAGGGCCTGTTGTTCAGGCCTCAGAACTTCACTCTTTCCATGGAGAAATTCCTCCTGGTGTCCCACCTGAGCCTCCCCTGGCACAGCCTGAGGCCGTTCCCTCTCCTCCTGTCCCTCGTTCCCTGGGAGCAGAGCCCGAACCCCCCCGGCTCCCCCCTCCTGTCAGGGGGTTGCAGAGCCAGAAGGTCCCCCCTGAGCCTCCTTTTCTCCAGGCTGAGCCCCCCCAGCTCCCTCAGCCCCTCCTGCTGCTCCAGCCCCTTCCCAGCTCCGTTCCCTTCCCTGGACACGCTCCAGCCCCTCCATGTCCCTCCTGAACTGAGTGACCAGAACTGGACACAGGATTTGAGGTTCCAGCAGCGCCAGCACAGGGGGACAATCCCTGCCCTGCTCCTGCTGGACACGCCATTGCCGGGACAGAACCGCGGGCTCCCGATCCCGGTCCCGCTCCCGATCCCGGTTCCAGTCCCGGACGCGATCTAAGTTCCGGTCCCGGACCTGATCCCATCCCATCCCCGCTCCCGCTGCCCCCGCACCTGCGGAAGTCGTTCCGGTCGGTGGCGAAGCGGAACGCGCTGCGGAGCCACGCGCGGAGCCCCCTCGGCGGGGCCGCCACGGCCGCCGGTCCCGATCCCGGCGTTCCCGGTCCCGACCCGGGTCCCGCCGCCGCCGCCATCGCTGCCCCAGCGCGCGCCGGGCCGCGTGACGTCACGGCCGCTCAGTGACGTCACTGCCGGCGCTCGGCGCCACGTGGGGCGGGAGCGGGACCAGGACCGGGATCGGGATCGGGATCGGGATCGGGATCAGCGCGGGGCTTCCCGGCCCCCCCCGGGTCCGGGTTGGGCTCGGCAACCCCCGCTGCGCAGCCGGGCAGCCCCCGAGCTGAGCCGCACGGGGGGGGTGGGATTCCCGGGAGCAGTCGGGGTTTCCTAGGAACGTTCAGGGTTCCCCCCGGGAGCAGTCGAGGTGCTCGGGAAGAGCTGGGGCTCTCCCGGGAGCACTTGGGAGCCCCTGGGAGCAGAGAGGGTTCCCTGGAGCAGTCGGGGTTTCCTAGGAACATTCAGGGTCCCCCCCCGGGAGCAGGTGGGGGTCCCGGGAGCAGTCAAGGTTCCCAGGAACAATCAGGATCCCTGGAGCAATCGGGGTCCCCAGGAACACCCCGCACCGGTGCTGACCGGGGCACTCACCACCTCTGCAGCTGCTCAGGTCATAATTGTGGGCCCCCCACCTCCATTTCATACTCTTGGATTACGTGGTTCCACAGACAATCCCGGACGGAGCCGGGGTCACCATGACGGCTGGTTACAGCAGGACAGGCTGGGAGAACTGGGAGCAGAGCCAGGGCGTTTGCTGGGCAAACTGGGAGCAGATGAACACACTGAGATGGAGCCTCGACCTCCACTGTCCCCTGTGTTCTGCTCCCGAGCTCCTGTGTCTGGGAAATGGGGGACAGACCTGCCGAGGGAGCCTGGCCCAGGCAGAGGGTCAGGGCTGAGCCCCAAACCCAATAGCTGCACATTTTTGGGGTGTTCCGTGTGTCATTTTTATACTTCTTTTCTGTTACTTAAGCCCATTCTTAAATGTAACTTTTACAGTGACTGGTTCCCTAGGTTATGGATCTTTATTCCGAAACAATCCCTGGTCAGTTCCACTGAGCTCTCCTGGTTGGAATCCGTGATACTCAAATCAGGAAGGGAAGGGTAAGGGGGGTCCCAAGCAGCATAAATGGTCCAGTAACTTCTTGGTGGGGTTTCTGTGGTTGCACACTTCCAACACAACACTCCCAACAACCTACACACGGTGCTTTGCCATCTTCCACCTTTTAATCACAGCTACTTCTTCCATACGATCCAACCTCGTTATTTTATCAGACTGTTTGCAACAGTCCTGCCACACTGTCCGTCCACATTTGTCCCTGCTGCTGCATCCCCTTCCCAAATCCCAGCGAGCTAATTGATCCACCCAGCTAGTTAATTGATTTAGGGCTATTAGGGGCTCTCATTAAGGGGCCAGCTGGAGAGCTGTGTGTTATCTGCCCGGTGGGAGCAGCCTTGGGAAGCGGCCAGCTCCGACGGGCCCAGGGCTGCCCCGGCCCCACACCCGGCGCGGCTCGTCTGGATTCTTGGAAGGGTTTTACTCCCCCTCACACTTCGGGTTTTCCCTTTCATCCCCTCCTTCGCTGGCGTTTGGGATCAGCGAGCTCAGCCGGAGCCTCCCCTCTCCGCCCTTATCTCCTCCCCTGTTCCTGCCTGCAAGGTCACGGCACCGTCTTCACCTCGTGCGGATGCAGGAATTTGCACTGCTGGGCGGACCAGTTCAGACCAGTTCGTTATCAGAGCGTCCCCAGGCCTCCCCAGCCAGACCTCCCGCTTCTGCCGCGGGTGTTCTCGGAGCAGGGGAAGGTGATAAATGACCGGGGGTGGGCGGGATGGCTGTACCTGGTACCAACACATCTGCCCACTGCTAACGAGGTCCGGGGGCGTCACTGCCAGCGGGGAATACAGGGAGATAAGGGGGAGGAGAGGCTGGAGGCGCCTGGCAGAGGTGTCCAGCGCCCGGCCGGCGCAGGAGGTGGTGAGTTGGATGGGCAGAGAGTTTGGGAGACCCTCTGAGCCTCGTCCCCAGGGCTGCTGGGGAGCGGTGATGCTGCAAGTGGGGCCCAAACCCGGCTGCAGCGGCAGGAGGGGATCGGGACGCGCTGGGAAGTGACGGACACGTTGGAAGGTGATCGGGACAGGCTGGGAAGTGACGGACACGGGCAGTTCCAGCAGCCCCCGGCCCGTCCGCGTGCCGGGGCCGCTCCTCCCGCATGGCAGCAAAGGTGGGTGCGATGGGAGGGTCCCGTCCTGCCGGGGCTCTCCGGACCCCCTCACCCTTCTCCTTTCCCCTCCTCGACCCTGCAGGCTCTGCTGCAACCCTGCCCCCCCAAATATCCCGGCACAAGGCTTGGAGCATCCCGGGGACTGTGTGGTTGATCCAGGTGATGCTGGACGGTGGCAGGCGCTGGAGGGGGGGGGGGGTCGCACGGTGTGCAGGGAACCTCCTTGGACAGTTGTTCCATGCCCTGGAGGTACAGGATCCGCTCCTGCATGGATGCTCCATGCCCTGGGGGTGCAGGGACGCCCTTTGTGTACCCTGGGGGTGCAGGACCCGCGTTTCAGGGTTGCTCCGCAGAGGTGGGGTCGGGTGAGACCCAGGGGCTGATGGGGCGCCGGTCGAGGGTCTTTCGTCCCGCTCCGCTTTGAGGCCGGTTTGCTGATGGACCCGAGATTCCCGGAGGATTTTGGCTGTCCTGGGGATCAGGGAAGCGGCGCTGCCCGGGGTCTGCGCACCCTCGGGCACTGGGAGGGCTGTGCCCCCTCGGTGAGGAGTGTTGGCTTTCGGAAGCAGAATCAGTGCTTTTAGCGGGATGGGAAGAGGAGGGAAAACTGCCAGGGGGAGGGACAGGAGCGCTCCGGGAGAGCTCCTCGGAGAGGGGATCGGTTCCGCCGGATATTGGAGTGGAACCAGAGGCTGGGGGAGAGCCGGCGTCCCCAGGGAGCGGAGCGGGGTGTGGGGCTGCAGGACTGGGGCGTAGGGGTGCAAGATTGGGGTGTAGGGGTGCAGGATTAGGGTGCAGAGCTGCAGGTCGGGAGTGCATAGGTGTGGGGTTGGGGTGCAGGATTGGGGTTCGGGGTTGCAGGGCACGCCAACCCACCCTCCTCCGTACTTCAGTGTTGCTTTGCAGGACCCGAGACTGCCGTGCCAGGTAAAACCGCAATTTAGGGACAAAAGCGTGTTTTTTGTGTTTCCCTCCGGCCCTGCCCCGGGGTGGTCCCTGCCGACGGTGCCCGGGGCGAGGGTGGCTCTGCAGCTCAGTGCCCGCCGGGGGTTGGGCGGTTTGGGGTCGGAGCATCCCCCGTCCCTGTGGAGAGCCCAGACCGTCCCGTGGGAGCAGGGATGGAACCTGGAGCGGGGCTGGCACCCCACTGCGATGCCAGGCTGGCGGGGGGCTCTGGAGGTGTCCCAGCGCTCCGGGAGCGCCGTGGGTGTTAATTCCTTTGAATGCATGCCCGGAATAAAGGCAAGTACAACAGACATTCAAACACTACCAGGAAAAAAAAAATCTTTTATTGCAGGGACAAAAAAAAAAAACTACTAGCAAAGAGAATCAAAAGCTGAAAAAGAATACAAAAAAACTACTTTATCGGTTGGCATTCATACAATACTACAAACAGCTTTTATTACAGTATTGACTAGTAAAAAGGGAATTAAAGGGATACAGAAGAGGATATAAAACTTTTGGTTTCTCTCAATAAGCTGTGCTTACCCACACAGACAGGCCAGGGCTGCCAGGATCTGCAGCAGCTGGTCGGTGCCCGTGCTTAGCGGGCGTCCTGGTAGAACAACACAGTCTCCATGGCAGGATGAGGATCGCTCACCCCAGCAGTCCTGACACCCTGTTTTAGCAGCTCTACATTGCACCACGTAGGGCCAGGACGTAGTGTAAGGTGGCAGCCAAACCCCACCCGTTCATCACCTGATAGCAACAGTCTGTGCATGCCCTACTTGTAGGGCAAGGGGCCAGCGACCCCTGCCCACATCATCTTCCTCTCACCATCATCTTTCTCACCCCTGTGTACGACCTCTACCACTCTGTTTCAAGGCTGTTTGTGTCTATCTTGCAGTAAGGAGCCAAGCCAAGGAGGAACTCAGCTCTGATAATGGGGGACATCCAGTTAACTTGCTAAAGACAAAATGGGCCTCACAGCTAACTCGTGCAATAAAATAACATTGTACATACTCTGGCTGGTTTCACATCCTAATAGAATTACTTTCTCCCCCTCTATGCTCCATTGATCATCGAAATCGAAAGTCCCCCCCTTACGGGGTGGCACCCGGGTGGCAGTGTTCCCGAGCCGGCAGTGACGTCCTGTGGGACGTGCTCACCCTGTGCTCACCCTCACCTCTCCCTTCCAGCGGATCCCACACCCCCGAGGGCCCCTCTCCGCCCCTCTCCCTCTCCTGGGACAGGGGCCAGGACGTCCTTCGGGCAGGATGTTCCCACCGCCGGGCTGCAGGAGGGGCTTCCCCAGGGAGGTAGGTGGGTCTGGGCGCTCTGGGAACTGCCAGGGCGGGTGGGAGCGGAGGAGCTTTGGGGGGCGAGGGTGGGCACCCGCTGCTCCATCCCTCGGGGCACGGAGGAGGGTGGGGAACATCGCTGCGGTTTGGGGAAGAACTGGGAACAATCTGGGCCCTCGGCCAGCAGAGGAGGCGGGTGGGCTCCTGCCTCCCCATCCCTGCTCAGCAGCCGGCCGGGGCAGGGGTGCAGGGGGGGTCTCACCACTCTCTTCTCTCCACAGCCCTGCCCGTGGGGGGATGGAGCAGGAGCAGGGCCGTGCCCCCCTCACGGCCCCGAGGACGCCTGGGATGAGCCGCCCTGGAAGCACCGGCGCAGGAGGGGCCGGGGCGGATGGTTCCGGGTAAGGGGCTGGGGGATGTGCCACGGGCAGAGTGGGACCCTCAGCCAGAGTTCCTCAGGGACACGCTCCCCTGGAGCCCCCAGGCACAGAGGAGTCTGGACACACGTGGATCCAGCCCCAGACTTGGTCAGAAGCTTGTGCCTGAAGGATTATGCGGGTGTAATGGAGGCTTCACACGACTTCCCTCCCGCAGGGTTAAGAATGGCAAAACAAATACATTTACATAGGTAAAATAAATTATTTATTTCCATTGGTGGTAATGATTAGACTGAAGGGCCTTAATCATGTTATAGATGGTTGTAACCATTGCTGTAGTGCATTGTTTATTAAATCAATGGTTTCAAAGTTAAATTAATAATTATTAAGTAGAGATTGATGTTACTCACCCAGACCAACACAAATCTCTTTGGCTCAGCCTCGGGGAGGGACCTTGAGGGGTGTCCCTGCTCCAGGGAGGAATCCACACGCACTCCTAGGAGGACTGTGCTGGAAATCCCACTGTTAGAAGGTGGGGTTGAGCTTTTATAGGATGAAACCACGGAGTGTCAGTGAGGCGTTGCTGGGGGAGCCCTGCCAGCTCAGCACAACTCCACTTATCCTTAAATAAGTTATTTCTGCTCTCTGGTTCCTCTCAGGAAACATCTGTCCCCCACATCCCCTCCAGTGCCAGCTGCTCTCAGGACACGCTGGGTTTCACATCCTCGTGGTGTTTAATTTTGGGATATTTGAGCCAGGCTGCTCTGAGCTTTCCTGGACACCACCAGCAGCGTGACTCCCCCTCCACCGCTGGTAACTCTGCAATTAGGTGAAATTTTCACCTGTTTCACCTAATTGTGTCCTGCTACAAGAAGGTGTTGTCGAGGTTCCCCTACAAATCCAGGGTAACCAAAATCAGGGGCTCCCCTGGGAGCAGGAGGGGCAGAAAGAGCTGGAGGTCTCAGTGGGGAGGGGGAACAGCAGGAAAGCCAGAACATCCCAGTGAGCTGCTGTCCTCACCTACAATTCCCCATTGCAGCCCAGCCCCAGGGACCCCAGACCTTTCCCTGGCCCTGATGGCATCCCTTGGAATGAGGAGGAGGAGGACAGGATATGGGCACCCCACGACTACCCCCCAGCACCCCCCTGGGATGACAGAGAAGAAATCCGAGGACCTGTGGATGACTTTGGAGAGGGCTGGGACCCGGTGAGGGGCAGATGGGCTGAGGGGGTGGCAGCTTTGTGAGTGTCCCCAGTGTGCCACCATCCTCATGGGCAACCATTCCTTGTTGCAGTGTCATCCCAGGGGTCCCAGACCCTTCCCTGGCCCCAATGGCATCCCTTGGAACGAGGAGGAGGAGGACAGGATATGGGCACCCCACGACTACCCCCCTCCCCCCTGGGTTGGCAGAGGACCTGAGGAGGACTTCACACAGGACTGGTTCCCGGTGAGCTTGTGGGTTGGGGGGTGGTAGCAGCTGCAGGACTGAGGCTGGGGAGTGGGTAAATGGGGCAGGGGCCACTCACTGCCCTGGTGACAAGGACAGGGCGTGGGGACGGGTTTCCCAGCTCAGCCTCCGCTCTGCTGTCGCAGGATTCCCTGTCCCATTCCCCGTCTAAACCCACCCCCTTTCCTGCAGGAGTGGCAGCCTGGCCCCTGTCCTGAACCCCCCTTGGAGGAGGAGCAGCCCCCACCCTGGCATCCTGCTGGCCCACCAGGGTGAGTGCTGTGCCCAGGGGGGTCCATGTGGCTGTGGGGTGGCACGAAGGGGCGCTGGGGGTGGGCACTGCGTGGGGGCACAGCCACGGGGTGACACTCCTGGCCCTGCTCAGCGTAGAGGGGGATTGCACTGGAGACCCCTTCCTAAAGTGCCCCCCGGCCCCGGGGCTGTCTTTACTGCTGCAGGAGACGAGGGGGGTTCCATGGTGGGGGCCCCCCCTGGGACTGTGACCCCCCCTGGGACTGTGACCCCCCCAGGGGGAGACACGGCCGACACCTTCGCAGGAGCCGCCGGGAGCTGACCCTGATCCCGTGTGGGTGGGGTCCCAGACCCCCCAGAGGTTTGTACTGCCCCCGTTCCTGCTTCCTTGGTGCTCTCCAGCATCTCCCTGAGCAGAGCTAGGGATATGCTGGCTCTGCCGTTGTTTCCCGCTCTGCAGGGCACAAACCACCCTCCAGGGCCTCTCCTCCCCGCCCCAAGACGAGCCAGCCGGCGGCCAGGAAAGAGCTGCAGCCCCCTGATCCTCCCCAGCCACCCGTGTCCCCCCAGGGTCCTGTGGAGAGGCCGGAACAGAGCCAGGTTGTGGGGTTTTACCTGCCCCCCCCATCCCAGTTCCCAGCAGTGACCCGAGGGGGCTCGGTCTGAGCCCTGTGTGGTGTTGTGGTTTCCCCCAGGACCTGCCAGAGGGGAGTGGGGAGGTCCCCAAGACCCCTGAGCCGGCCAGGACCCCTCCAAGGAGCCCGGCCACTGATCCCTGCGCTGCGGGGCCGGAGCAGGCGGCTCCGGGGACACCGGTAGGAGATTCCCCTGCTCCCGGGGCAGGCAGGGGGCTGCACCCCCAGGGCTCTTCGGCCACTGTAATGCTTCCCTCCTCTCTCTCGTCCAGCCCTTTCACTCTCCACCTCGCTGTCTCCTTGCCAGGCATGGGAGTTTTTCTGGACTCTTCTCTGGGGCTGCAAAGCCTCATGGTTTCCTTTGGGGTTCAGCACCCCGTGGGTCCTGTCCCACAGCTCCTCTCCCAGGACAGACATGTCCCAGTCTCACGCCATTGCCTGTCCCCAGGTTGAGCCAGGAGCTGAGCAGACACCTCTGGGCAGCCAGGACCAGGATCCCTGTGCTTTGGGAGCGGAGCCAATCCCACTGGAGGAGAACTCTGCCGGGGCAGGGGAGCACCTCGAGGTATGGGATTCCCAGGGAGCGGCACAGAGTCAGCACAGGGCTCCCCAGATCCTCCCCACCAGCAGCACGCTGCTTCCCCTATGGATAGTTTTTATTCCCACCCAAATTCAGTGCCTGGGAGGAGGCACATTCCCCTTTCCAGACCCTTTTTCGCCCTCGCCGTGGGCTCTGCAGCGCACCTGTAACTCCTTGCACAGGTAGAGCGGGGCAGTCCAGCTGTCCCCGAGGCTGGCACAGGTGATGGGTCACATCCCCACAGCCCACCAGCCCCTCTGGATCCCACTGAGAGGGAACACCCGGCATCCAGCTGCTCTGCAGAGGTGGGTGCTGAGCTGAGCCCACATTCCCAGGGAGAGCAGCGTTTGCCAAGTGGAGCTGGAGAAGCCGAGGCAGAAGCTGCCCACGGTGGGGTGGGTCTCAGAGCATGGGGCAGCTCTGTGGCGTGTCCCCCTCCCCAGGTGAGAGCCCCTCGAGGCCTCTGCTGCAGGTGGGGCTGTGCTGGCAGCACTGGCTGCCCCCTCCTGCACAGCCCCTGCCTTTCTCCCCCAGCCCCTCTCTCTCCCACAGCTTCTCGAGAGCCTTCAGCCACCTGAAAACTCTCAGGTCCTGCCAGGACCTGCAGCAGAAGCTGATGCAGAGCCCAGCCAGGCTTGTCCTGATCTCTGCACCTCACCAAGGACCTCACCGGAGCCCCAGCACTCTCCTGGCTCCAGTGAGACAAACCTGGTACGGGGTCCGGGTGCCCCCCACATGGGGCTGGTCCCCTGGGCCTGGGGGCACTGCCACAGCAGGAGCAGTGGAGTGGGATCCCTCTGGAACCCCAGCAGGATTCTGGGCTGGGGTTAAAGAGCTGCTTTGTCTGGAGGCAGAGCCCGTATCGGCCCCTGATGCCAATAAATGGGAGAGGGCTGGAGAAAGGCCAACAAAATAACGAATTATTTTGTGTGGGGGAGTGTGTGGAGCATGAACAACCCCGGGACTGGAGCTTTAACAAAGCCAAGGAGAGCACTCCAGAGCAGCTTAGTTACTGCCTAATGGGGGACAGAAATCTGCTGGAAGCTCTCCCTGCTGGGGCTGGGGCAGAGGGGGCACCCAAGGGAAGGGGGGAAACCCTGGGGAGCCAAAGTCCCAGCAGGTCCCTCAGAAGGTGACCAGTCTCTGGCTAATCAGTACTGGCAGCCCCAGTTTGGCCCAGTCCCTCTCCCTTGCCGAAGTATCTGATCTTTCCTTGCCTTTCCCACCCCCCAGGCTGGGGATGGACAGCAGCAGCTCTGCTTCAGCCTCCCGACGCCCTCCCCATCCCGCCAGGATCTCCGCTCCGCCGCCGTCCTCGCCAGGAAGGAGGCCATCGAGCTGGTGAGTCCTGGGGGCCCCTGGCTGAGGGGTGTGGGGGTCTGGGACCTGCTGCAGGATGAGGGGGACTCAGCCCAGGACCTTCTGGAGCGATGCTGGGTGACGGGATGTGCACTTGGCATTTTGGGGGGCAGTGGGAAACCCCTCCTGGTGATGGTCATTGCAGGGGAAGCTGCTCGGAAGGGGTTTGCAGGGGCTCAGGTGCTGCCAGGAGGGTTGTGGACCAAAAAATGGGCGTGGGGGGAGGAATATCCCTCAGGGGAGCTGTGTGCTGCTGGTTTGGGGTGCTGACCCCGTGGCCCTGCAGTCGTACCAGCGGTTCAGCCTCAACTTCGCGGTGGTGGCCACGATGCTGCTGCAGAAGGAGCCCTCCATGGAGGCAACCCTGGGGCTGGCACTCAGGGCCAACCTGCGCCAGGGCCGGATCCACCACCTGCAGGAGCTGGAGAATTTCATCGACAGCTACGACTCGGCCACCCCCAGCCCCTGAGGAGACACCCCCCCTCCAGCCAGGCTGGGAGGGATGGGGGGCCATGTCAGGGCACTGCTGTGCTCAGGTGGTGCTTAGCCTGCCGGTCAGGGTGGCATGGACATGTTGGCAGTCCCATATCCCTTGGAGAGGGAGGAAGGTGGGGGTATGCTTAGTTTTAGCCCTGCCCAAACCTCTGTGTGCAGCCAAAGGAGGAGCTGGTGTTACTGGCTGGTGGTGGGAGGGAGGGAGAGCAGCAGCCCCTCTCCTCCCATCCAGTCTCCTCACTCAATTCCTGATTCCCCGGGATGTGCCCACAAACCCCGGGAGTTGTTCTTGGTTTAAAATCTAAAAATAAACCCTGTTCTTGTTGCAGCCCTCTCTCCGCTGTCATTCTGATCCCGCTCTCCTGGGGTAGGTGAGGGAGGGTTCCTACGGTGAACCCAGCATGGGGGGTGTGGCAGAGGGCAGAGGTCACCCCTGGGGTCACGCTGCCCTGGTGGCACGGTCGGTGTCACAGTGGGTGACCCTCCTGCGTTCAGATTTCAGCCAAACTTTATTGGAGCTTCGTCATTGGCAGCAGCAGAGCTGCCCCCCTGGTCCCTCCCCACGGCGCCACCAGGACACGGTGGCACCAGAGATGGAGAGCACGTGGCAGTGGTGCTCATCCTGCAAGGAGGAGTCCCAGGGAAGGATCCAAAGGATCCAACCCTGGCCCAGAGGTCTGGTGCAGGCAGCTGCCCTTGTCTGGAGCACCGGCCGCTCTCCCTGGAGCTGCTGCCGTGTCTGAGGCGCTGGAGCCCAGGTGAGCTCTGCTCCCTTCCTGCTTTACCTGTTCCTAATTGCGGGAGAGGCCAGCAGGAATTGCAGGCTGTGCTTTGCCAGCAGCTGCCGGGGGGGAAGGATCCCAGCAGCTTCTCCCACCAGCCTTGGGCCACGTCCAAAACGCACTTGGAACATGTTGAGACCATGGCAGCACCCAGCAGGGGCTGGCAGGATGTCAGGGACCCCATGTCCCCACTGCTAGGACACACTGCAGTGTTTGCTGCTGCCCCGGGGCTTGGCCGTCCTGCCCCCAGCCTTCCCCGGGGGCTCCCTGCCCAGGGAATTCATCCCAGGCTTGGGGATGGGCTTCCCAAAAAAGAAACCCTCTTCCTCCGAGTCCGAGTCCGAAGATGAGGAGCAGGTGGGACACCAGGAGTCCTCCTCCTCCGTGATGTCCTGCAGGTCGATGTGCTCCGACCGGGGGCTGTGCCGGGGGAAGGATGTGCCCGCTCGGGAGGGGGGGTTTCCATGGCCCGTGGGTGTTCGGGGGTCAGGGCCCCCCAAAACCGGGTGGCCCAAGGCTCCAGGCTCGCTGGGCCCCTCTGGGCTGGGCTGGGGGGCGGAGGGGTGGGTGGCTGGTGGTCCTGCGTGCACAGCATCGCTGCTCCGCTCCTTGGCAGCTGCTCCATGGTCCTCTGGGCTCCTGAACGCAGGATGCACAGGGGCCTGATCCAAAAACGCCTCTGGAAGAAGGAAAGCAAGGGTAAATGAGGAAGGAGAAGGCTGAGCCTGCCCTCCCACAGACCCTCGTGCACCGAGGGCTGCCCTGGGACATCAGGGGGGTGGCAGCAGCCCACCCCCAGCTCCCACCGCTCGCCCTCCCACGGGAGGTGGGCTGGGGGCTCATCGCCGCTGCTCCAGCCCTAAACTGGGCTGCCCCCGTGGGACGTTCCCCATGAAGCACCCAGGGGCTGAGCAGAGCCTGGAATTGCCCCTGTTCCCCCCCATAGGATCCTACCAGCCCCTTCCACGTGCTGCCTGCAGCCCCCTGGAGCCGAGGGGCCGCCGGACCCCGGCGTGGTCCTGCCGGCCGGGCCAGCTCGGGACAGGGGCGTCGAGTCCGGGGACGGAGCCGAGGCGAAGGCCGAGTCGGAGGAGTCGGAGGTGCTGGAGGAGGAGGACGAGCCCTGGCACAGGCTGCAGGCGTCGGAGCAGAAGAGGCGGCCGCGGCGGCAGGTGAGGGGCTGTCCCCGCAGCGGCTTTCGGCACAGGCTGCAGCAGAAGCAGGCGGCCCGGGCGTGCCAGTGCAGCCCTTGGTGGGTGGCCCCCTCGCTGTCAGCACCTGGGGGGGCAACCACAGGTGAGGGGGAGGCTCTTCCCGCACCCGTGTGCCAAAACCCCGTGTGCCAAAACCCCGTGTGCCAAAACCCGTCCTCTGCAGCCCTCCCAGCCCACCCCCCGCCCACCCGGCAGGGCCGGGCAGCCCCCCCGGGCCGGGGGTCGGGCCGTACCGATGGGGTCCCCGCAGGCCTGGCAGGGCTCGGCGAAGAGGCTCTCGAAGCAGGTGCGGCAGCAGGGCCGGCCGCTCCTCATCACGTAGCGCTGCCCGCGCAGGGGCACGTCGCACTCCAGGCAGCAGAAGTGCTCCAGGTGCCAGCGCCGGCCCTCGGCCTCGATGCACTCCTCCATGAAGATCAGCTGGAGCGGGAAAACAACCCATCCTCAGCACCCAGCGGGAGAACCCACGGTCTGGAGGATGCTTTGCTGTGCTGAGGAGCGAGGAAGAGCCCCCATCCCGTGGCGTGGGCACGGGGATCTCAGCAAGGCTCAGGAAGGAACATTTCCTCCTGCCCATCAGCGGTTCTTGCTGGATTCGCAGCCCCCAGCCAAGAGCAGGGGCTTTGAGCGGCCGAAGGGAGGTCAAAGCCACCCCCTGCCCAGCACCCACCTGGTCGCAGGAGGCACAGCGGGGTCGGAAGAGCTCAGCGTGGTGCCGGCCACAGTAGATCCTCCCATCCTGCTGGAAGTAGATGAGATCCACCAGCGGCTGGTGGCAGAAGTGGCAGGAGAAGCAGGACGGGTGCCAGAACTGGTCCCCCAGCCGAGACACTGAAATCCCCGTGTCGCCTTTGTTCAGCCTCCTGCCGCACTGCAAGGCAAAGGGACGCGGGGTTCGGGGCCAGGCTGGCTTTTGGGGACAGATCCCCGCCAGGGAACGGCTGCTGGGGGGGACACCTCACCTTCCTGCAGGGGCAGCCATGGCAGGGACCGGGCACGGGACGTGCCAGCCCCTGGCCCAGGGCCTCCCGTCTCCGGCGGGCGCTGAACGCTCGCAGCTGCCGCCGCTCCTCCTCGGCGAGCTCGGGGCAGTACCGCTCCTGCACGGGGGCACAGGGTGAGCGGGGCACGGGGGGGAACCCAGGGGTGGGCAGCACCCAAAAATAGGTGTCTTACATCGCAGTCCTGGGGAGGCAGCTGCTGCAGGAGGGCTCTGGCGCGGAGCCGCGTCCTGTCGGAGGGAGAGCCGGGCTGCGGCGAGCGGGGGCCGAGGCACGGCGGGGCCTTGGGGGGGGCACGGGAGAGAGAGACAGGCAGAATTTTAGGGGGGGATTGAGCTGCATTGCTAGAATGTGTTTAATCCCAGGGCTCTGCTGTGGGAACCTCCCATGCATGGCACCCGCAGAGCTGGGGGAGAACCGGGGTGCTGCCCACCTCGGGGGGTGCGGGGTCCGCAGGGGGTTCCGGGTACTCTTCCAGGGCACAGCCGGAGTCGCTGTCGGAGGAGGCCGGAGGGAGGCCGGTGGTGGTGCCGCAGGACGGGGGCTCATCTCGCTGGGGCCATGCAGGGCGAGGCAGGGACATGAGCTGGGGAGAGAGGGCACGGGCTGGTGAGACCCTTGGTGAGGCAGGGAGGAGAGACCCATCCCCAGGACACGTAATCTGTCTCCACGTGGCAGCAGGACGAGCAGCCCCTTGACCCAGGGAGGGACCCTGGAGCAGGTCCAGCCAGGAGGATGCTCAGTGTCACCACGACCTCGAGACCTTTGGCTGAACCACTGCAGGAGTTCAAGGGCTTCTGGGGGCTCCTTTCTCTGCGGGAGTTACAGCAAATCCACACCCAGGGTGCAGGCACTCAGCAGGGCTGGGGCTCTATCTGCCAAGCAGGAGGCACTGGGAGGGGATGTGATGGTGATGGGTTGAAGCCAAGTACGGAAGACCCCAGGTGTCCGAGCTCAAGCTGGAAGAGGCTTTGGAAAACAGCCCCGGCTTTTTGCTCGTCCACAGCAGGAGATTTTCCCCAACTGCCACCAGTCCTCTGCTGGGTGGTGGCTAATCCCTGGTCGAGTGGCCCAGCCCTGAGCGGGGGCAGTGGGAACAGACTGAGGTTTAGCCCAACTCAGTGGAAAATAATTCCTTCCCCCTGGGCTGCCATTGTTCCGCCCCGGGCGGCTGTTCCTGCCCGGCTGGCCCAGCCACCACCACCACGCCTGGCCCGGGGTTACGCAGTGGAAACCCGTCCCCAGCCGTCCCCTCCTCCCCGCGCGGGCGCTTTCCACCACGCGCTTCCTTCCTGCCCTGGCTTTCCAAAACAAAGGCGAGATGGTGATGTGGTGGCTCCTGGGGTTCCCTGGACGCCAGCCCAGAGCCTGAAGCCCTCAACCCATGATTCCTGCCCCGGTGGGATGCAGGTGGGCTGTGGGTGGGATGGAGCTGAACTGCTGCTTGGGGGGTGTGTGACCAAACGGCCCCAGGGCACCCCTGGATTCACCCAGTGCAACGCCCACCATGGATGGATCAACTGCTCTGGAAAGTGTTTCCATGCAGAAAAAGCTCATGTCAGGCTCAGGGCTGAGGGGTGGGAACCCCCAAACTGTCTACCTGGGTCTTCCTACTCCTCTGCCACCATGAGGACTCATTCCCTTCTCCGCACTGGGATGGGACCGGTGTATCCCCCCTGCCCGCACTGTCCGGGACATCCTGGCCAGCACCAGCATCCCCACTGCTCCCACTAAACACCTTCAACACCCCCAGCTCAGCCCCTGCTGCCAGTGTGCCCCTTCCTATGCAGCATCTTGGGGTGCTGGGATGTGGCAGCTCTGGAGCTGGGAGTGGGTGGGCTCAGCCCGGGCAGCTCAGGTTTCCCTGCCCTGCACCTGGGTCAATGATTAACGATGCACATTGGCTAATCAGCGGGATAAAACAAAAGGGCTGCTTGCTTTTTCCTGGGCTTTGGGGTCTGCCAGCCCTGGGGCAGCACAGGAGGGTGCAGGGCTGGGTGCAGGGTGCTGTTCAAAGCTGCGCTTTGGGATAGGGATGAAATAATCTGGCCCAACTCTGTATTTGCAGCTCAAGGAGAGCCCTGGCTTTGCTGGCTTGGTGAGGGCCCACTGCTGGGCCAGGAAGCAATCTTGGCTCTACAGGAGAAGCAGGACTGTGTGTCCCTGAGGATGCTGAGTGGGGACTTCTGCAGGCTCAGTGTCCGGCCCCAGCTCTGTTTCTGCCTGGTTTGGGTAACGTGTCCCTGTTTCTCTCTCCCCAGTGGGAGGCATTCCCAGGCTGTGCTTGGCTCATTAAGCCTCCAAGCTGCATTTGTCTAATCTGCTGGGGCT